ACAAAAAAGACTGTGCGTCGTGATTTGACATTTAACAATTGATAAATATAGTTTGACTTTCTAAATTCATTCTGACGCACACTGCCTGACATGCCGCAACCACCAGAGGGCGCGCTCAAAGCACACCCTCGCCACACTCCTGCATTTACTTGCACCACGACTCGTGCTCCACGTTGCCGAATTTGGCCGCGAACTTGCCGGCCTTGATCTTCTCCCAGTCGGCCTGGCTGATCTCGCCACGGGCCGGGTGCTTGTACTTGCAATCCTCCATTGTGCAGACGCCGCCGTTGCACATGAAGGTGTGGCGCAAGGGCTTGAGCGCGCCCTTGGAGTTCTTGCCGTACTTGCCGGTACCTTGACAGTCATTTTTTTACGATTAACATGTGATGCTGGACCGTGCTGCAGTTTTACGACATTTGTACTCATGGTCAGACGGCGCCGAAGGATGCATGACGAGCAGGCAGCACGGGCTGCCGCAGGTCAGCTTGAGGAAACAACCGCGTCATCATTTTTCAATGTTTCCACGTGTAGACACAAAAGAACCAATACTGCACACGATTAAGTAACACTGGCCTTTGTTCTGCCCGTTCTTCTGGTAGGAGGCGTTGTACGACGACTGCGCTTGCTGGATCTTGTCCAAGATAGCCTGCAACTTCTTCTCCTGCTCCGCAAAATTCTCCTGCGACTTCTTGTTCACTTCGCCCACACCCTCTTTGACCTGCTTCAGGCGCGTCAACTCCTCCTGCCAGGACTTGGCGAAGCGGGCCTCGCTGAAGTAGATGCGAAAACGCTGGATCCAGGTCGTCCCGGGCTGCGCTTCATCACTGGTGATGGCGTCGCTTTTCATCAGGATGTTACCCATGGCCTTCGTGGCCGTCTCCACATCGTAGGCGTTCACGGCCAAGGAGAACTGACTCAAGATGGCGTCGCGCTTGGTGGTGTTGAGCACGGCCTCGTTGTCACGGTGGATTTTCGCCGACAGCGCGCTGAGCAACGAGGTCACACTGCACGGGTTCTTGCACGACTCGCCTTCCGCGTTCATCCCAGTCTTCCAGATGCGACCTGAGGAGATGAAGCCGAGAGGAATATGCACATTTGTCATTTCCAACATGTCATGCTCACATGCAGTTTCACGCATCATTTTTTTACATCATGAAAAAAACAATACCAAGCTCCGCAGCGGTCTTCTCGTTGACATGCTTACAGGCACGCGAGAAGTTCGCCTTGGACGGCTTCATCTCCGGAATACTGAGCTGCGAATTGTTGTGCGCCACCGCGATGGTGTCCTCGTTCTGCGCCAGGAAGTCGGTCAGACGACGCGCTTCCGCTCCTTCGCCGCCTACTGTGTGGTAAGTTTATTTATTACTTTGACAGAAGCCATGATTGCTTTGACCTGATTACACATTCGCAACAACGATTTGCATTATAGCCAACAAACATGTACCCGCAGCCATCGCGGCAGCCGCGACGTTCGGACCTGGTGCTGCAGCCATCTTGAGTTTCTTCACGCTTTCTTCTTTACTTAAATCTCTCTTCCCTACGGTTTTGATTGAGCGCGCGGCTTTTTTTCAAACTACAACTGACGACGAGAATGAACGCGGCCCAGCGGACCAATACGAACACGCAATCTTCATGGAGACACAGATGCGCCAACTTCTTTACATTTCCCAATTTTACATTTTCCCACTATACATGTACAACTAGATGCCAGCAGAGTCAAGATCTACGAACATTTCTTTCGACACATACGGAATGGACCGGATATAATATAACAACATTTGGAGATTGCTCCAGCGACAGTGTATGACAACACGGAGCGGCTCTACCTTATTAAGATAAAGGCGGCACGCTGCCCCTATGCGCCAACTATGGCTAGCGACTTCTGCCTCGGTGAAAACATGCTTCATGATTTTGGAAGCGTCTAACTCTTCACGTGTGAGATGTGGTAGCATGTGACGAAGCTGACATGTACAATAATAACGGGGGTAGTTCAACGCTTTTAATTGCTCACAGACGCATTTAATGCGTACTACGCTGTAGGCATTAACCTTAGTGCTGGCTTCTTGGAAGTTCAGCGCGAGATCTCTTCCTTCGCATTTTAACATGATCAGACCCTTTCCCCCTCTGCCGTAGATGTCTAACTTCAGTACTTCGCTTTTTCTGAGTGCTCCGCACCATGCCATTAACAAAACAATTGCTTCTTTGAACTGTAGGGCGCCACTGCTGCAGTACTTATGTATGTGCGTAATAGTTAACGGGCTTTTTTGTTTCTTCCTCCCAAGAAAGCCTCTCCTCACAAGTGTACTCAGCGTTTTCTCAATGGCGCTCGCCTCTTCTTCATTCAGCCTACTTCTTTTGTCTTGTAAAACGTCACGCGCTGCAGGCTGAGTGCTGGCGTAGCCGGCAGTCATGCAGACCCCTATGTAACTACGGACAGAGTCGCACGACCACAATAAGTAGGGGAGCTGGCCTGCAGTGCGCAAGTATCTTTTAACTCTAGAGTCCCTATTTTCATCCGCTTTGCGCGTACTCGCCATACCGTCCAGTGCGTCCAGCGCCGTCTTCAGCTGCAGCGGGTCTGACGCTATTTCCAAAGCTAACTGCATTTTGCTCTGCGCGTTCGACACTGCGTCTTTCGTGGCCCCAGAAAACAGCTCGTGCAGATGCTGCTGGCCTTCTGCTGCTCTTTCCAAAAACAAACTCTTCGGGATGTCGCACGACATGGACCTCGCAAACGGGTCAACCTTCTGCGTTACGCTGACTCCGATGAGTTTCCCGCTCTCCGTGTGCTGTGTGACAAACTTCAGCTTCGACAGTTGACCGAGGAGGTGATGCGCCTGCGCTGGCTTCAGCCACATCACGCCTGCTTTACTTTCTGCCGGTGGTTTACCGCATATCTGCTGGTGCGTATACAGCGCACTGGGGAGCGCTGACGAGCTCGCCACAGACCCGGGCTCCAGCCTACTGCCGGTCGCGGTGTACGCCCGCAGGGCTGCTTCGGCCCGCCTTTCTCCGAATGCCGTGACAAGCGAGTCGTACGACTCTACGTTCTTCTGCGCTTGCTGCTTCAACTCTGCAGCCAGATCACTGTCGTCGTCGCTTAACATCTTACAAGGAGTGGGTGGGTGGGAGAAAAACAGATACGAATCGTGACACCGTGGCCGTGATCCGATCTAGGTCCTGCTACCCAATGCATACATATACAGGCACGCGCACGCGTGCAGCATGTGTTTTTCACTCTTACGCACGTTCAAAGTGGAATAAATCCGCGATCTCGTTCCTCGCCTGCTAATTTATTCTCCTTTTGTATGTGGTATTTGTTCTTACTCTCTTTCTGGCTTTACTGATTGGTATGCACGTCTCCTGGTCCCATGAGAATCGCCGAGCGCACGACCGGCTGCCGCACCGAGCAGGCAGCAACGGGAGATCATCACGGCGCGATCGCTACGAGATCGCGGTACCACGACGGGAGCGTCCTTTTGCCATCGCCGCTCTCCCAAGGAGAGGGTGCCGACTGAGGCACACCCAGGAGACGCTCCCACCACCGCTCGACGAAGGGGGACGGTGCTACCTACGTGACAACCGCGGGCGCCGAGGTACCAACGACCCTCGAATGGCGGCGTGAGCCGCTGCTGCTCAGGCGAGCCTAAGAAGCAGCACTCCGCATAGCCACGCATGCATGTGCAAGCACTGCACGCGACTAACAAGAGCGCACCACCGACGGGGTGATCCTCGACAAGACGAGGAACAACCGGCCCGCCAAGCAGCAGCGCTGACGCCTTCCACGGTGCCAACCTGATTTCTACATGCTTCCAACTGCGCAACCGCGTGCGCTACTACTCTTGCCTCCTACTTGCTCTCAACTGCACTCCGACTCTACAGACACTTCCAACGCTGACTGCCTCCTTTGTCTTACAGCTTACTGCCAACCAACAACAACATTTCCACGGGAGACACACCTGCAGGGGCACGGTCGGTGAGGCCGTGTAACCTAGAAAAACAGATACGAATCGTGACACCGTGGTCGTGATCCGATCTAGGTCCTGCTACCCAATGCATACCAAATCATTCTTATGTGGTGTTAACCTATGTGGTGCCAAATACGACCCCCATCTGCAAGGGCTTAGCTGTATGGCCACGCATTATGGTCCCCATTCTCTTTATTTTCTTCGCACTGATCGGGCGGCGATTTGCTCACTTTTTGTGGCCCCTCCCTTGTCCCCCCCCTTCCAAATGCGGGACCATCTCCGACGTCCCAAGAAACGGATCTGGGTCCCGCCCACGTTAAGGGGCTGGCACCTTTGTGATCTGCTGCGATTCGCGTGCGCCGCGCTCCGCGGAGGGGGGCAGCCTTCGCTTCTCGAGTTTGTGTGTTTAGGCCGCAGGGAAAGCGGTTCCGGGGATGCTCGGTGGTGCGCCGGGCGGTTTTTTATGCCCCCCCCCCCCCCCCCCCCGCCGATCGGGTTTAGCGCATCATCACGCTTGCTCCGCGCTGTTCCGGCGTCGGCTGTAAAGTGCAGCGCTTCGGGCGGTGCCGGTGCGGCTTCGCACTCGCGCTTTTGCTGGATGTTTCCGGGCTCCGCGCCGCCGGGTTGCGGCCGTCGAGGCCGCCCCGGCCTCGGGTGCTCGCGTGCGGGCGAGCGCGACCGGGCACCGATATGCCAGCCTAGCATCCGCGACCGCGGCGTATGTCAAGCGCCGTATAGCTGACGCCCGGGCGAGAAATAGTCGCGCCGCTCCATGTTCGGTGTTCTGCTTACTTAGCTTCGCAAGCATCGGTCTACAGCAAAGCAAGAATCTCTAACAAAGACACGACGCAGATGATTCGAACGCGATGAAGTTCTTATACCCGTGCTCGAAATGCTTTTGAAACAAGAAAGAACGCGCGATCTGTTTTGCCAGCATTCCGATCTCGCTCCATTCGTTCTTTTTCGCTGAACAGCACCTATTTACCTCTCGAACCCCATGACCCCATAGATGTGTTTTTCTACCTCTGTTCTATCGCACCCCCCCCCCGAAAGAAAAATCTCCTCCGACCCATATACAAGCTCCCTTACTTTATCATACAACTCTTCTTTTCCTAATGTTAGAAAAAACTTATTTAACTTAAGCCCCACCTACTGTGCCCGTTTCTGATTTAATTGTCGCTATATATCCCTGCGAATTTTGTGATCGTATCGCAACTATCTTTTACTTCGGTACATCATCGATCTAGTATTCTCCTTCTCAAGTTTTCCCGAGACATCAGCAGGTTCTCCTCGCAGTGACCGACCATGGCCTCCACGCGCCGCGTGAAGAACGTGGCCTACGACGACTACGAGGACGGCGATGGCTATGGATGTGTCAGGATCGAAATCGACAAAGTTGAAAGGCTTTGTCATGCATAAAATGGATCCCAGTTCGAACCCAGTCTCTAAGTGGCGCATGGCAAAGTCTGGCGGTGCCTAAATCCAGTTTGTAATGCTGTTGGGGCAAAGAAGGCTGATTCTCTCATGCTGCTGTAGCAGCTCGAGATACAGCCCCAAAGAGGCTTACAATCGGCATCGCTTACCTGCTCTGCAACACACGCATTCCGCGTCATGCATTTTATGCATCACAAATTTTTCAACCTTGTCGATTTCAACTCTGACACTTCCATAATGGCTGGGACGAGGAGGAGGACTGGGGCAACGAGGATTGGGGCGAGCAGGGCGCTTGGACCGGCGGCGGCGGGGAGCAACAGTGGACCGACGCGGAATGGAAGGCGTGGGAGAACGCGCAAGGCGGTGGTGGTAGTACAAAAAATGCGCCTGCTCCGGGTGCGAGTAAAACCAAAACCGCCGCGGCCGCAAAAAGCAAAGCATCCTCTGCTTCCAGTACCGCACCGAAGGCGAAAGCTGCGCAAATAACGACAGCCTCCTCAACAGGGCAAGCCGGGAATAAGAAGCACCCCGGCGCCGACAAAAGCGCGGGAACTTCTACGAGCGGGAAAAATACTAAACCTAGTTCTGCAGGTGCACCACCAGCCGCTAGCAGCGACAAAGCTCCAAAACCCGCGGGGACGTCAACGCCGGTGAAACTGCCCGTAGCACGACCAGCGGATGATTTGTCTTCCGGTTGTACCAGCAAGGATGCGAAAGGTGTTTCCTCTTCCCCGAGAAGTAACCAAAAAACTACCCCAAGCACTTCTGCAAACATCACTTCCACGGCCAACAATAATTTGCTTCCCGCCGAGGAGAACTTCTTCAATTTGCCCGAGGCAACGAGCGACGAGGGTATAATAAGACACGACGCAGATGATTCTTTTTCCCCGGCCAACCAGAATTCTACGAAGATGGTGACACCTTCCATGACCAAAGACCCGCTGAGTGTCGTCGTGGTGGGGCACGTGGATGCGGGGAAATCGACGCTAATGGGGCATCTACTGGTCCAGGTCGGCGCGGTGACCGCGTCCCAGATGCACAAGCTGGAGCGCGACGCGAAGGCGACGGGAAAAGAGAGCTTCAAGTACGCCTGGGTGCTAGACGAGGGCGAGGAGGAGCGGGCCCGCGGGGTCACGGTGGAGATGTGCGCGAAGCACTTCGAAACGGACCATTTTCACGTGACGATTCTCGACGCGCCAGGGCACAAAGAGTTCGTCCCGACCATGCTGCAGTCCGCCGCGCTCGCGGATGTGGGCGTGCTCGTGGTAAGATAAATATTGTATGGCAATAAACGCACGTATTGCCTCTGCATATGATGAAGGCTTGGAAAAATCAAAATGCCACGGAGCATGACAAATTGCGCCGAGGATTCTCGATGCATGGTCTGCAGGGGAAGTGTGCCCTCCCATCTTGGAAACAAAAGCGCGCAGCCACTTTTACTGGCTGCGTACTACAAATTTTTGCCTCTACTTCTAGTAGAATTTGAAGATGAAGCGAACCAACACTACTTTCAACTCCAGGTCGACATCCGCGATTTCGACGCAGGGTTTCACCGCGGCGGGCAGACGAAGGAGCACGCGCAGCTGCTGCGCGTGTGTGGTGTGCAGGCCGTGATCGTCGTCTTCAACAAAATGGACCTGGTGAAGTGGAGCAGAACAAGTTACGACAGTAAGAAAACGCAAGTCACGGAGTATTTGAAAACCCTCGGCTTCAAGGACCACGCAATACACTGCGTACCACTATCGGGGTTCCAAGGGAAGAATATCCTAACCACGCCCAGCGAGCTGAAAAACGCAGCGGAGTGGATGAGCGTATCTTGTTCATCCGCAGGAGATGAGCAGACCGACGCTCTTGACAGAAATACAGCTGCAAAAAATAAGGAAAAAACGTTCTCGCCCGCACCTCGCAGCCCGAAGAAGGGCGAGAACGCAGGCGCATTATTGAAAGCGGAAAATAAAAATATGGCAACAACTGGTGCAACAGCAGAACTAAATGCAGGAGGTACAACAACCGTCGCAATGCCCACGTTGGTGCAAATGATCGATGCGTGCGGTGTGGCGCTGAAAGCACAAGGGATGAACTCGGCAACCTCATCTTCGAATAAGCAAGACCACAAAACCAGTAACAAATCCACCTCAACATCGACACCCCTCCGCTTCTCCGTCACCGACGCTTTCCCCTCGGGAGGAAATACCATCGTGAGTGGAAAAATCGCGAAAGGCACGCTGAAGGCGGGCGACACGGTCTTGGTCCTTCCCGCCGCGGAACCGGCGAAAGTGAAATCTATCGTCGCGTGCGGAACCATGAACACACAGCTCGCCCCCGAGGGATTCTACATTGACACTTTAACTCTGCAGATCGACTCGATTTACCTGCGCGCGGGGTCGGTTTTGGTAGAGAATTCGCATAAATTTGCATCTCCAAAGAACGAGGACCAAGAGAAGATGAAGCCGGGAACTATTACCGCGGGCCGCGTGGTAGAAGATCGCGAAGCGGACGCGAGACTGCATGAACATTTAAGGGAACGCGAAGAGGAAAAAGCAACAAGCTCCTCTACCCCTTCCGCCTCGCAGCTCCGCGCGGCTTCGAGTATCAAAGCGACCCTCAGTATTTTCGACTCCGACGTGATTATTGTGAAGGGCCAGCAGTTTTCCTGCTACCTCGGCACGCAGTTTGCCAACTGCAGTTTGCAGAAGATCCTGAGCGTCCGAAACCACGCGGAAAAGAAACCCAAGTGCCTCTCCGAGGGGATGGTGGCGGAGGTCCTGTTGAAAACGGACCGCGAGCTCCTCTTCGAGCCGGGGATCTCGCTGTTCGAGCGGGTTGTCTTGCGGGCGCAGGGCGTTTCGGTCGCGGCGGGGAGAGTCAGTGGGGGAAGATGAAGCAGCAGCTACGATTTGTTTTCACTTCACGCCGCCTCAGCGAATCGATCCTTAATAAACCTACCCACCTTTTCAAAAGAAAACTACAGAAGGTTCTTCATATCTCGTCGTAATTACCCGCGGAACAGCATCCGTGTGCTCGCTAAGTTCTCAAGATCAAATTTGCTCGTCGTGTTCCGCCTATTTGAAATAGCGTATGAGACACGGTAAAATTATCGGTGAAATCATAAATGCAACGCAATCGCCCTGATCCTCACTTGTCGGTTTTGCGAATAGCGAAATATACTTACTTACATGAATCGCCGAAAATCTACTGCAAATATCGAAATATAGAAGATCATCGGGAAGATCAAGAACGGGATCGATATCGTAGTCATTTTCAGGGAAAAGTGCAAAGAACACACCTCACTACACTGCCTGATCCTCGTAGATGGTAAGGATCATGTTGCGAACAGGAGCTGCTTCCGGATCCAAAATTCGCGCTCGCCGTGCATGGGATCATCACTGTAGTAGTCTCGTCGGAAAATATCAGGATCTCGTGAAAACAATTCATCAGCAACACAAAACGACGCCTCGTGAACCAGCGCAATGATCACAGCCTCCCCGTTCCTCGTGAAGATTTTTTCCCTATGCACACGACAGAAAGTTTTTAACTGCGCCATTTTTTCATTTGCTACCCACGACCTCTGACTCAGACAGTACTCTAGTTGATTAGTAGTCTTTTATTTCTAGCACTTTTGCTCCGCCGTGTACCAACGAAAATCTAAAGTCGTGTTGCTCCTCAATGCCTGTAAAATCTGGTTGTTGCTGCATCAGTAAAGACGTTCGCCATCGCCTTGTTGGATAGTATTATTCATGTTCCACTGACTGCATTTATTCCCACGCTTAGTCCTGTTGGTTCGCAATTTTCTCTACATTTTCTCACCAGTATAGCGCATATTTTGTGCCAACATCTACATCGTGGAGATTCAATTACCGTGGAAAAATGTTTTGAATTCGTGGTGTTGAAGAACGAAGTAATAATCGTGGAATCAGATAACCAACGTCGTACTGATAAAAGACCAAGTCAAAAACTACTTGTACCTTACGACTGCTTCCATTATTCCTTCCCCACACCCGTCCAGCAGTGACTGCCTTTTTTTTTGCGCCGCCAGCGCTCGTTCGATTGTGCATAAGTACCGAAGAAGTTGAAAAATAACCAGGAAAAGTAGATATTTTGTGCAAAAGAACGACCTCGATGAGCGAGCAGAGCAGTCCCAGCCGACCCAGCGGCAAGAGCGCGGAGGGTCGCACGTTCGTCCTTGGTGCCGCACATAATTCGTCTCTTGGCCCAAGGTTATTAGACTCGCGGCGCCAACCCGTGCCAGTGGACAACGACAGCACTTCGAGCGACACGATGACCGAGCCGACAACGCAGCAATTGAACCCCTCAGGATCATCATCATCATCATCTTCGTCCCGCGGAGGGATGTTGTTGAACACTGGAAATGCCCCAAACCAGCACCACCAAAACGTCAGCAACCACGCGCTCGGCATAACCGGCTCTCCGGATAGGCAGCGACAAGGCACGACCAGCGGCTGGCCTCCTCTCCAGGGCGGCAATGGTGTGGCGTCGAATAGTGGCAACAGCCAGCAGCTCGTTGGTGGAACTACGAGCAGTGGTGGGTCTTCGGGATCGAATTCCTTTTCGACCGCGAATTTGTCCGGCAGCAGCAGCCCGCGCGGTGGGACAGGCGGTGGAGCTACTTCTAGCAGTGGCAGCCAAAGCCAAGATCCACAAGGAGCCTCGCAGTCGGCCACGTCCTCGTTCTGGCCGTTTTTTGCTTCGAAAAAGCGGGACCGGACAGACACCGACACGGCGAGTAGCACGGCGGTGCCGAGCAGCGATTACGGAAGTGGCAGCACGGCGGACGCGGCTAGCAGTGCGGCGTCGAGTTCCAACGCGGACCCAAATGAGGAGGACTTGAGGAGGAAGCGCATGCAGTACGTGGCAGCGGCGACCCTGCCGCAGCTTCACACCATCGAACCAAGCATGCGGAGAAAATCGAAGAGCGGCCGAGCCTCGGTACTGGTGCTGGTTTTGATAGAATATTAACCCCGTACTACAAAGAACATGCATACAAGAGGCCACAGAAATTTGGCGTCGGTGGTTTTTAATGAATAGAAATTATCCTGCGTACGACGTGGTGGTGGATTGAAGTGCTGCTATGGTTCCCGCTGGTGGTTACACTTCTTGTGAGAATTCTCAACATTGCAGCTGAAAAACATCACAAACAGATATGCACCTTCAAGTGTCGGAGTTCATTACGAGCGGTCCGGTACGCCATCCGCAAACTCGGATGGGAGGAAGTCACTGCCGAAAGCGCAGACTGCAGTGTCGCCTGGCTGGAGCACGGAGGTACTTCCAAATTAACAAAATGGTTTTGGAAAAATTAAAACAATGAATGCATTGATTTTTTTCTACATACGCTCACCCTGTCCACAATCTCTGCCTGTGAATGTGATTTTTACGATTACATCGGATGCAATGCAACACTTCTGAACAAACTGCTTTATTCACGCATTCTTTCACAAAAAACCACAGATTCCGTCGTGCACCTTACGCCGTACCAGGCGGTGTCCAAGATTGAGGGCATGGTTCCGATCTGCCGCAAGGCGGCGTGCGCGATTTCGCTGAACCGCATCGCGAAGTCCTTCCCCAACGCCTACAGCTTCGTGCCCAAAACCTGGGTCCTGCGGCGCGACGGCTACGACGAGGCGGTGCACCTGGAGAAAATTATGAACGAGCGCAAGGGCTGGGTCTACATCGCGAAGCCCACCGCCGGGAGCCAGGGTATCAAATGCAAATATGTCTGGGTCTGCAAGGATACGAACTTGTGATGCATACTTAGATCACACAAAAATCTGTCATGCTTGGACAGCAAAAGGAGCTCCTTTTCCTGTCGCGGAAAGAAGGTGTTTGTCATGCGGATTAGGCATTGGCAAACCGTCTCAAAACCTGTGATGCTAGGCCTTGCATGGCACACCTTATGTGTCAAGCAGACACAGCATCACAAACCTCAGCAATCTTCCAGACCCAGACACTTTTGCACTTGATACAGGGCCGCGGCGTGCAACTGGTGAAGCGGTGGCCGGACCTGAAGCCCATCGTCCGCGAGGTTTGGCCCGACGGCCTGGATAAGGAGCAGCAAAAGTACCGCAAACGGGTGGAGTTCGTGGTGCAGCGCTACGTCACGCGGCCGCTGTTGGTGAACGGCTTGAAGTTTGACTGCCGGGTTTACGTACTCGTCACCTCGATCACGCCCCTCCGCGGCTACCTGTTCGAGGAGGGCCTCGCCCGGTTCTGCACGGTCCCCTACGAGCGGCCCAAGGCACACAACCTCGGGAACACGTGCATGCACTTGACCAACTACGCGGTGAACAAGAAGTCCATCGACTTCCAGCCCTCCCGCGCGCACGACGACGGCAGTAAGAGAAGTTTGTCCTCCGTTTTTGACCTCATTTACGCGGAGGAGGGGCCCAGCCCGGACACCATGTGGCAGCAGATCAAGGAGCTCGCGGAGCGAACGGTGTTGGCGATCAAACCGAGTCTGATCGAACACTACGGGTACTTTCTGCAGGGCAAGGTCGGCCACCACCCGCACGGGCCGAAGGGGTTCCAGATCATCGGGCTGGACATCATCTTCGAAGACAACTGCCGCCCGAAATTGCTGGAGCTGAACGCCAACTGCTCTTTGTCCTGCCTGTCCCCGATGGTGGACCCGGAGGGGGGCGGCGTGCTGTGGAAGCCGGACCAGTCCGGGCCGAGAATGGTATCCCGTGCAAAAACATCCCCACCCCAGAGTTGTCATGCAATTCTGCATGCCAAAAAAGTTTCTCATGCGGAGCCCTATGAGAAGCATTTTCTATTTGTGTTTTGGGAATTGCGATGCTAGGACCAGCATGATATGCCAGATCTGTGATGCTTCTGAGCTAGCTAAACAGAATTACACTACAAGGATCGAAACTTGTCATGCCAAACAACTAAAGCTGTGTGATTTGTCTAGCAGATTTCCCATGTTGACTCTGGTGTGGGGACATTTTTAATCAGGATAGATGGAGGTGTCGGCTTTGGATTTGGCGATCAAGTCCGAGCTCGTCGCGCAGGCGTTGTTGCTCGCGAACCCGTATCGAATGCAAATATGTCTGGGTCTGGGAGATTGCGAGATTTGTCATGCACGGTTTGCATGAGCCATGATGTCTGTGATGCAGGCACTAGCATCCCAGGTTTTTTGAGGGATTCTTGATGCCTATTCCGCATGACAAATGCTCTCTCCGCGTAGCAAAGATGAGGCTTCTTTTGCTGCTCATGCAACACACATTTTTTCGACATCCAAATGCAGCATCACAAGTTGCATTCTTCCAGACCCAGACATTTTTGCATTTGATAACCCTTTGTCGCACAGGAAATCCGTGCAGGGCAGACAGGAATTCCAGGAGCAGTGTGGCGGTTTGCCCGCCGGTTCGGTCTTTCAGGAGCCTTTGCCGAACGAGGAGCAGCGAAGAGAGGCCAAGCCGCCGAGGAGACCGGATAGACCGCAGTACGCGCCCGCGTTCAGACCGCTGGACTTCACGACAAAGTACTAAACTTGTGGCTTCTTCTTGATACAGAATATGTTGTTTCCGTTTTGATGGTTCTCAACAGTTGTGCCACTAAGAGACCCTTCTTTTCGCCTGCAATATTTCTTTCCCGCAGGTATCCGCAGGATAAGGTCTGTGTTCTTGTCAAAACCAACAAATGGAAATGTTACTTGCAAAAATCCACCACAGCCACCAGGCGATTTTTGACTTTGTCCAGTCGCACGAGCACACCTACCGGTTGTTCCGCGGACTCCTCGCGCCCGGACAGACCACGTTCACGAAAAATTCCTTCCGGTCCTTGGTGATCAGTGGGTACTTTCTGTACGAGCGCGGGTTAGAAGACAGCAGCGACGAAGAAGAGGAGGCGTTCCGGATAAAGATCTTTGACGACATGGCTTCCGCCGACGCATTTTTCGCTCGGGTTCTGTTTGAAGCCAACCGGGAGAACAACACGGTCGCGAACGGGCTCAATTACCTGCAGTTCTTGAAGTACTATAAACATAGAGAAAAAAAGCTTTTGCTTCACTGCTTTGCAGAATATAAATGAGCTCAGCATGACGAATTATGGAATTTGTCTTGCTGATTTACCTTAAGAAAGAGATTTGTCATGCGTAATTGCATGCTTTATGTTTATCTATTATCCCACAAAAATCGAAATTCAGGTATGTGTGCGTCGAACTCGGTTCCCGCATTGACGACACCAGCGAATTCCATGCGATCCACGCGTTCGTCCGGCGGTGCGTTGGCACGTACGAAGGCAGTAATAGTTCGGAGTCGGATGAAGAGGAGGAGGAAGTTCGGGACGAAGAGTAAGATCTTGTTGAGAACAACAAACAACAAACTCTTGCGGATTTCCGACCCAGATGAATCTTCGAACGCCGCTATGCAAACGCAAGTGCATCAGAAATGTCTTGAGGTGTTCTCCTCAAAAATCATGAACAGCATACGACGACAATACTTACGAAACCGCAACGACACATTTTCTTTTCTCGCAGAGAAAAGAACAAAGCAACATGTATAGCAATTCAACAACGATAAACAAAAGAAAAAAGTAGAAGTACACCTGTTTTGCCTTAACTATTCAACAAACAATCTGGTTTTTTGTTCACACTCTTTTTTAACACCTGTAGTTCCGAAACGAAAGTATGGACTATTTCGTTTTCATTTGTAGTTTTGTCTTGCGTAGTTCAGCATTATCTCTAGCGTGTTACCACGTTTTGTTTGCCATGAAGTTCTCAACAACCTGTATGCTACTTTTGTGCCGTCTGATGTTTTTAGTGTATCTTTCTTCCATGGAGTGCTTGTTTGTGCTTTTTCATCCTGGTAGACTCTGCTCATGTACCTAAATTCGCCGCTTTCGTTTTACCAGTGAAAAAGTGTTTTTGTTATTACCGTTTGTCGCTTGTGCTTTTTTTTCGTGGTCAGGCTCATACTTTTGGGCTTGCGTGTCGCATTTTCCGCTGGGGCTGCAGCGCATCGTTGGTCTTGCTTCAGGAAATTTTAAAGAACCCCATGTACAAACACGAACCTGCGGTCAATGACGATGAGACTGCGACCGCGACAAAACAAGATGAATGATTTTCCACAGCTGTCTTTGCGAGCGCGGGCTTTCGATAGGAAAAATATCATGTCTTTAATAGGGCACAGGAGATGCAGATTTAACGATAAGGTCAGTCGTAACGTTTTCTCGTGTTTTAATGTGGAATCGAAAGCGATGCTGAGATGAATGCGTGGGAGAGTGGTCGCAGCGATAGGACAACATGGGCGAAGAAAGTAACACTCGCTGAGCTTGAGTTTTTGAAGCGTGAGATGGCATTGCTACTCGGGGAGCATAAAAATTGCCTGTCATACACGACTCAACGTCTGCTGTAGATCGCCATTAGACCCCTAATGTGAAGTATTGCGCAAAGTAGTAGTTGTAAAAGTGAAAAGTTGTTGTGGTTCCACCGAAAAATATTCATTGAAATTTTGCGCTTGAGCTGCGAGTAAGTCTGTAATCACACGATAGTTAAGATGCCACCGGCTGGAAAGAGAGTAGCGATAGCGGATGGGGAGGAACTGGAGGCGAAAAAACGACGTGACATGTCGAAGGCCGAAAAAAAGGCCGACGACGCGCTGCGGGATTTCGAGAAGGAGCGGACGGAATTAAAGCGGACGAGGGGGGAGTTGAAAAAGATGTGGCAGGGCCTCTGCTCGACGGCGAAGCAGATGACCTCCAAGGCCAGCAAGGTGAAGGCGCTCGAGAAAAAGGTATGGCGGCTATCTTGTTTGTTTTTGTTTGCGTGGTCGGGTTTTCATTTTCAAAGACATCGCGCGGCGCCGCCGAGGCAATTTTTCTCCGGCGCTGCGTGATCTCGGTAGCCTTTCACCTACAGAAAACATGAACAAACAGGCCCGCGACAAGTTTCTCGGTCTCCTAAAAAAGGAGCTGAAGGCCATGACTTCCATCCGCCAGATCAATGGGGAGTGGTGCTGTCCACCAGAACAAAGCATCACTATCATAGAGAAAGGCAGCAACTCGCCACTTATGTAATGCGAGGCCGAGGCCCGTGCCCAAACATGAATAGCATGCTCCTGATAGATTGGTCTCTACAGACTTTGCCACCGTCCCAGTGTTTTGCTCTGCAGAGCACATATGCACATGCTGGGCTGTTTCTCTATGATAGTGCCGAAGGGAAACGTCGACTACGAACTCTACAAGTACATCCTGAAGCTCGCGCGCAACGAGCCAGTCGACGCGGACGAGGATGGTGACGACGAAGACGAAAACCCCAAAATGGCGACAGTACTGAAGGCCGCGCGGTTTTGCGTGACCGAGGGGGCGGACGAGTGGAACAGCACCAAGGTGGTACCGGAAGCACAGCCGCTGCGGACTGCGACCCTCTCCTACGGGTTCGCGGAGCGGGTGTTCTCCGCCTCGAATCTCACCGGTGGGCGGTGGTACCCCGGACGGGCGGAGCGAACCAAAATCAACCAAGTGAAACTCACCTTCAACAAGAACGAACAGTCCCTGGAAGTGAAGGCCAGCATCACCATGACCGTAGAGGAGAATGGGTCCTGATTATTCCGCTTTGGTCTTTCCTGAATACCATTTCGCTACTTTCGTCTTCCAACTTACTACGTGTGACCTACAGACTTCTTCTAGAGCTACTTAATCACTCACCAACTTTCGCTGCTACAGTCAAGACTTGTTTATTCGAACTTATCAGGTAGGATCTAACGGTACTGCTGAGGTGTCGGTTGATATGAAATGTAATAAATTTGTTCAAACTACCTTATGCTACTATCGATGCTGTTGCTGACCCCCCAGCTTCTGCTAGCATAATAAAAACCGTTCGCGACAAAATGTTTTCTCGAAAAGAACTTGAGACCTAAAAGATTCAACTTTCGCTATCGATTTCCGCGATGCACGAAATCGGTATGCGGACGTCTAACTGTATGCGTTTCCGATTTCTTGTGTGAACGACGGAGGAAGATCGCGTTGTCGGAGTGAACGCCTCGAGCGGTTGCAGTCGAGGATGGTACTACTAACGTAGTCACGCATTCTGTTTTTTCGTTCGCTTTGTCATTCGGACCAAGAGAGAAACTGGCGGAAAGCCGTGGGTGGTGCTGAGCGTTACCGGATAACGAAGTAACTGTCGTTGGCTACGAGAGGAAGAGCGCCAAGATGCTATTCTTGTCCTGCGGAGTGAGGACGTTTGGCCGCATAAACTTGAAGCCATGCTCGTTGCTCTGCGATCTCGCTTTTGACTTTCCAGTTTGCGATCTCGCGACATGCAATTGCATTTCACATTCCATTTTCACATCGGTGTAGTTTCATTCTATTTGGACAGGCAGTTGCGTAGTGGAACAAGTAAACCGAACGGAGATAACAAAATGCCAAGTGAACGGACAAGCAAGATGCTGTGCCAGCCCGGAATGGAGCTCCTCTACGCAGACATTGCATTTAACGACGCACGGCGCCCTTTCCGGGATTTAAAACACGGGTCTTCTTTCGCGACACTGCGTGAGTCTCTGGATCTGACGAATGCGGAGAAGGACAGGAAGCTTCAAGTGATTACCGAGCAGGTATTTGAGCTATCATTTCCATGTAAAATTGTAGGTCTAGAACAAGAAGATTTGTTTCATCAGCACGGTCTCTTTGGAAGTTTTCGAACAGATTACTGTACACAGTTTCACAAACTGTCACCTCGCTCGACTGTAAAAGAAACGTTGCACGTCACAACACTTTCAGGCCGCCGTTTCTTTCGCTGGTTGCTTCAGGCAGCACCTGATCCGACTGACGGAGGCCCAGGACCATTTGCTATCTTCCAACCGCGACTATAACGGCGAGGAAAAGATCCACCGCGGCTGTCCTCCCGCCGTCGACTTTGAAATCATGACGTGCTTTCTGCTCAATTGCGCGACCATCGACCTGGAGACCGACCTGGTGCAAACCGAGAGGGGCTGTTTTTTCCAATTTGGAGAGGAGGAGCTGAAGATCGAATTTGGACCGGAGAGCATTCGCGGCGAGTGTGTTATCCACCACTTACGGTGTGAGTACGATCCGGAGGAGAAATTTTGTCACATGTACGCCACGGTCACGATGCCGTGACGAAAAGGGAAAGTTTTCGATTCAGTTTCTCTGTGTCATCTGTTTCCCGAAATAAAACGTACTGACTTCAGTATTTCGAGCTAAAATGTAACTGATTCTCTTCACGTAATAACGTATCTAAAACTGTTTTCAGAGATTGACTGATTTTGCCAGGAAAAATTCAAATTTTGCAAACGAATATTTCGATGACGATACGTAGTCCTCACCGGGTGTGCGACTGGACCTCCAAAAGTTTCGACTTTAATGCAAGATCCAGGACCATCTCCACCAACACCATCGAGATGGGCATCTCGATATTGACAGAAGTAGAACTGTAGTTTGCGGAAAAACGACGCTGGAAGTGCGCGCATTGGGTGCCTCGTGGGACTCAAAGACTCCTGAAAAAAAGTGTTGCGTCGTAGCTTACCAGAGCAAGATTATATCAGTATCGTTTTAATGTCGGGTCACGTTATTGTCGCGGACGAGAGACGATGAACGAGCGTCCATCAGGAGAGAGTCAGAGGGAGAAAGCTTGTTTTTGACATGGGGAGGGGCAGCGTTCGAAAATTTCTCCATCGAATCATGATTGGTGATAGGATTTCATAGTGCTTGTCGTTCACTAGTAGTGCTACAACGCGTAGAGAAGGAAAAATACCATCAGGTTTTTTGGGAAAATAAAGTAGGTCCGCAGTAGAAGACTAGTAGGGGTTCATCGTTTAATTCCTTTGCGTAGTTTGCGCTCAATACATTAAAAGAAAAAAATCGAAGTAGAAATGCCGGAAACGGGCTTGGACGCGGGGGCCATGCCCACGGGGCTGGGCAATTTCAAGGGGGTGATGTTGTGCAACCGGCCCGACCTCTCCGCCCCGAAAACCAAGGACCCCACGGAAATGCCGCCGTTCTACAGCGCCGTGGCACCCGGGGCACTGGAGCCGCTCGGCATGCTCCACCCGAACGAATTGAATCCCATGGAGCAAAAGCGCGACATGCCACCCGCAATGAAAAAACACAGAAAATGGCTGCAGAATCTACAGGTGAGAGGACTTTAAGTAACACAAGTACAGCTTTTATTCAGAAGTGGTATAAGTTAAGTGCGAGAAGAATCTGTTATGCATAGTGTCGTGCTAAGAAATACCGTTAACAAGGAGCTACATCTATTGAAAAACTTTATCAGGACGAGCTCAAGACGAGTAAGACGGAACTGCAAGCAAAAGCAGACTCAAAGGAATCCAAGGTAGTGGACCTGCGCGAGAAGTGCGCGGACCAGCGACAGGCAGTGAGGGACGCGCTCTCAAAAGCAACAGAGGAGGATATCCAAAAAATGTTGTAATATTGAAAAAAAGCATGTATACAGTGAAACAGTATACAGTGAAACAAGTTTATTCCGCATGAACTAGAACTAGGCCATCCTCTCCTTTCTCGTGCAGCTCTATGGGCAGTCTGTCTTGTGTAGAATCTGTGGCCCCGAGGAATGAAAGAGGTTTTCCATTCTTGCTTAAAAATATCCACTAGTAGTACAAGGGCATTGATTCGACCACAACTCCGTTTCTTTTTCAACATTTCGCTTTCAGTTTCATACCCCAGCAAACGAAAAACCACCCGGAATTTCTGAACAACCTGAAAGACGCCGTCGCCGTGTCGGAGGACAAACCGCTCCCCGAGCCCCTGCCCGCCAGCAAGATGAACGCCGCCGCAAATAAAGACGGGGGTAAGAAGAAGAAAAAGAACAAGCCTTTGTGGGCAATGTCGGCGACGGAGAAGGAAGAAAACGAAGAACACGAGGTCGCGGACCTGCTGGACTTTGCGCAAAACCTCAACTTCGAGGACTACGTGGAGGATTTGGAGTTCCGCCAGGCCTTGTCGGTGCTCAAAGGCCGCGCGAACGATCTGCTGGCGCGCACGGAACAGAAGTTCCTCAAGGACGTCGCGGAAAAGAAGAAGGAGCTGATCACGGAAGTCACGGAGGAAAACCTCTCCGAACTCGAGGACAAATCGCACAAGCAGAAACTGCAGGCCACGGTCGTGTCCGGCGTCTCCCAGTCCGTGTCGCAGCGGGGCGGGCGCAAGGCGGTTGAGGAAGAAGAGGAAAGCAGCTACTACTCCACCGAGCCCGAGTCCGCGGAAACCGCCACCTCGGTGTCCTCGTTCTCCTCCTACGGCTACGTCACGCTCCGGCGGAAGATATGCATTGCAAATATGTCTGGGTCTGGAAGATTGCGAGATTTCTCTTGCTAGTTCGGCATGACTCTGAACTCTGTATTGCGTGGCCACGAAGACCTCCTCTCGTCTATTTATGCAAAAACGATGTTTCTCATGCAGAATACGCAACACAGAGCCACGAGAAAATCTGTCATGATTGGCGATGCATTACAGTGCGCTTTCTGTTCACTAACATGCATCACAAGTTTCCAGACCCAGACATATTTGCACTTGATAGAAGAGGGAGGAGGCCGAGAAGGCGGCGCTCTCGAACAAAGAGGAGGACCTCCAGTCGGTTGCTTCTTCGTCCCGCGAGGTTGCGAAGGAGGTGCTGAAGGAGAACCCGGAGATGAAGGCGGTGCACAGCAAGGAGTATCCCAGAGAAAAAAGCTGGCAGGTCATATTTGTAATGCAAAAGTAAACACACAGACAAAATCTGCATATCCGAAGCAGCATGCTATGGTGCCGCCCATGACAGATTTTCCTGTGTATTTATTTTTGCATTACGAATATGACCTGCCTTCTTTTTTCTGTGGGATAAGGAGTCCGTCATGCGCATGGTCGAGAAGTTGGCGGCGGGCATCGAAGAGCTCAGCAAGAGGCCCGCAAACCGGGAGCCGCTCATCGTAACGTCCGATGACCACCATCCGGTGCAGCGGGAGGCGCTGGACCCGAAAAACGTGGCGTATTTGTACCGCAGTCCCGCAATCTAGGGTACTAGGCAGCTATTGAAGAAGCTGCGCCCTGGGGTGAAGGAGAGTCGTCGCTTAGAACAAGAGGTGTGGTACAGAGTGAAACTAATGCGAGGCGAACATCCTACGCACTTTTGCTTTATCGCAGTGTCAGAAAATTTTTACCGCAGAATACAGAACCTATTTACTACACACAACGCCGCGTCTAATATTAATATAATCCTGCGAAGATTATAGACGTGGCTGAGTTGTATGTTGTGTCCACCTCGGAACAACGATTTTATGCACAGTTATGGTTTATTAGTATCAAACACACAAGAGGAGCCGAAAGATCGTTTTGTCAAAAAGTGCTGAAAGATGGACCAGGAAGTGTCAGAAGTACAGAGTTGTAGGGTAAGTTTCAGGTTCCCCTGTATCCACGTATTGTCAAGAACATGACTACAGTAGGACCGTCGCTGTGGTCGTGCAAATAAAGGAAAAACAGCCTCTCGACCACGTCAGGCAACAAAAGAGGACGACGTCGTTGCATTCTCGTAGTTCCCTTGTGTACAACTATGTGTTGTACTGGTCGCGTTGCGGAATCGGTTTTGCGTAGTAAGTACCTTCCTTCGCAGCAGCGGCAAGATGCCATGTCGGGCCACTGCAAAGAGGAGATCGCCTTGCAACACCAACTCACATGTTGAGGATCGTCTAGCACCAAGATCTCGGTTTTTTTCGATGCATTTTCACCCGGGCGTGCGGAGGGCTGCCTCGTCCCGGGCGCCTCGTACTGTAAGCCGTACTTAGCTTAGAACATCAGTGAAGTTTTAGCTACAGTTTGTATTTGAATTTCCACTGCGCTAGTAGTTGTACACAAACTCCTTTGCAGCACTCCTTATGCGACTTCTTATTTTTCTCATTCGTATCTACTTGTACTTATGCTAGTTGAGTCGTTCTTGGCGGAAAATTTTCATCGGACAATAATATGGACGTCATCGTTGAAGCGATTACTGGCGCCACGGGCGGTGTGCTCGGCCGCTGCGTTGCCTTTCCGTTCGAAACGCTGAAACAGCGCCGAACCAGGGACCCCTCCGCATCGGTGCTGGATGTTTTGGCCGAAGGCCCAGGCACCGTTTACCGTGGGTACTAAGTGCATGTTCTAGCGCAGAATCAATATCGTGATGAGTTTGAAGCAGGTCTAGGAAATTTTTGCAAACCGTGTGCAATTTATGTTCTTTCAAGAGAGTAAGTACATGTTTCTCTTCACAACTGACACTGCAGGCTGCACTGGTCGGCGCTGGAAGCGTGGAATTCCAAGGGTTTCCAGTTTATGGTTGTCACGAAGCTTCGACAGATGTACCTGAAACACACTGGGAAGAAGCCCACGAGTATCTGGATCGCGGTGTTGCTCGGGTACCTCGCGGATGTCGCCTCTATCCAGTGCAAATATGTCTGGGTCCGGAAACTTGTAGTGCAAGTCTGCGATTGATTGTCGCACTTGAATGGGCAGCCCCGCATGACAAGTTTTCTAGCTACTCCCTGTTGGGTATTCCGCATGGCTGCAAGTGGCGTTTTTGCATGACAGGCAAAAAGGGGCTGTTCGTGCGTATGCATCACAGACGCCATAGTCATGCCAGCCAGGCATGACAAGCCCTGTACTCTTCCAGACGCAGACCTATTTGCAATGCATAGCCTCTCTCTGGAACACGATAACGCTGGAAAACGTGATTGCCCGGCTGCAGACGTATCAAATGCAAATATGTCTGGGTCACCTGGAAATCATGGGATTTGTGATGCTAGCTGTCGATCACACAAAAATCTGTATTGCAAGAGAGGCAAAAGACATTCAGACAGTTGCCACGCAAAGGGGCTATTTCTCATGCGGTATAGGCATCAGGAAGCGCTCACAAAATCTGTGATGCTGGGATATGCATCACAGGCATCATGGATCGTGCAAAATGTGCATGAGAAGTCTTGCAATCTTCCAGACCCAGACATATTTGCAATGCATAAGACGGACCCGGACACCTTTTCGGTACGCAGAGAAATTCTGTGCGTGCAGTTTCTGCGAAAGGTCGCGCGCCAGTTACCAGTTTATCTGATACTCGCACTGAAACCCGGGATCGAGCACGGGCTGTTCGACGTGTTCAAGCACTTCTACATTCAATGGCAAAGAAATAAAGCGACGAATGAGGCAGCGGGCGGAGCTGGGACGATCGGTATAATTGACTGTCTTAGTATTTTCAGGAACATCAAGTCGTGTTGTTATTGTTAGTTTCAAAAGTTCCGAGAACGAAAATGCGATGATAAGTAGTCTATTGGCCCCGAAGAGGCAAGCCCAGCAGGCTTGCCAGCAGAGAAGTCTCGCGCGCGCGCGCGAGAGAATCTTCGCATCACATCGAGTAAACCGCAGTGGAAAAAGCAAATGAAGAAGCGCGGAGCCAGCCTGAAGAACTACTATCCTTCTTCCTCTACCACTGCTACCAGGGAAGATTTTGTCAGTACACCCTTTCTAGCGAGACCAAAGCCTACACGACCAGCGCGAAAAGAACACTGTTGAGAACAACATCAAACGTGTAGTAGTACTCCCGACCATAATTCTTTACAACTACTCACATCAACAGCTAGTGCCGCCAAGCGTCGTGCGCACGTCGCGGAAATAAATGTCGCAGACCAGCACGACCACCCTCCCCCCCGCGTGACCATCAACGACAGCCCCTCCTTTATCTACCGCAGCTGCCAATCCTTCAAGGACTTTACGTGCTGCAAGGTGGTGCTCAACCCGCTGTGCGACTGGCTCGGCGTGGAAAGCTTCGGCGAAGGTGCGAAGAAATTATCTCCGACCACCTCGAGCACCCGGTCGTCCTCCGGTAGCAGCCGGGCCACCGGAGAGGAGGTGGGGGTTCATCCTGATGGTAGTACGTCAAGAGCAGCTGCGAGTGGAGTGAATAAAGGTAAATGCTCTTCTTCGACCGAATCCGCCGGCTGCGTTACGAAGAGCCAAAATGAGGTGCCCATCCACTGCCGCTATGCGGATTACGGCCGTCCCCCCGCCGCGCGGCCGATCTCCTGCCGCGCAAGTGCGACTAGTACGGCGGAGGGAGGAGCGTTACTGCCGCACCAGGAGCCGCAGCAGCCCGAGACCAACATCGCACCGACTGGTCCTAATAACTTTGGCGAAGATCATGATTCAGCAGGTCGTTGTCCGCATTCCCCCGCGGCGGATTATGGCGGCGCGGGCGGGTTCTCACCTACCACCGAGCGAGAACGAGCCGCGAACAGGTGCGGATCTTCTTTCTATGCGCAGGAACTACATGATGCGGACAAGCCCTTCGGAACCTACACTTCTGGCACGATTAACGTGACAGTGGCGCCGCCGCCGCTGGAAGCTGCTGTAGCAAATAACTTGAGCGCGGGCGAGGACGCATGGAATAGACACGAGGGGCTCACCAATATCGTATCGAAGCCGGTGCTCCAGGCGGATGTTGTTGATGATCAAAAACAAAATACTAGCCGGAAAGACCAAGTTCTGCTCACTAGTCGCGGGACGACCACGACCACCGCAAGAGCGAACCACCAGAGCGTGTCCACCTCCGTTCCTAACGGCGACGCGGCGGCCTGCGAGGAGCGTCACGGCGACGAGAGAACGCCACCGGCAGATGCTCGGGAGTCGATCGAGGAGTCGGACCTGAGTTTGCCACTGCAGCCGGCACGACACGCCGGGAGCGCCGTGTCGCCGCAGCCGGGCCGAAGCGCGAGCTGGGTGTCCAACTACACAGAGGCGGAGGACTATTACAGGCACGGCATGTGGTACGGGGATGAGCCGCCCTCGACTCAGCGGGTGGTGACTCGCAGCCCGCGCGGGATGGCGGAGTTCGTATGGCGCAGGAGTTTTAAAGTTTGCGTCCAGATGACAAGTTCGCGATGTAATGATGACAGTGAGATGAACAAATACTGGTCTTTGTTCGATAAGTATGCGGTGCTGTGGTATCACTCGTTGTCTCACTGGCTGAGGAGCATGGGGCCAACGCCCAACTGTTATCTCAAGGCTGTTTTTTGCATTGGAGCCGCTCGTTGTCCTGACATCGGTCCACTGCCGCAGCGTGGTCGTGGGGTGGTCGCACCTTGTCGCAAAAGAACTTCTTGTCAAAGAGTCATTTTTCCTACTCTATTCTGATCTCCCACCCGGTCCTCCGACGACGACCCTGACGGTGGAGCTTATGGGACGGCGTACAGCCCTCGCCAGCCACACGGCTATGACGATTTTTACAGCTATCCTCCTTCAACCGCTCGTTTCGAAGAGGACAACACATACTACGGCAACACAAGAAACCATGCGTCTGCTTCTAGCCACGCCTTTCATGCTGATTGTGGTGCGCACATCAGCCGAGACTCCCGCACGAGCGCGATGGGGTCCGTTAGCTGGAGCCGCGAGAGTCGTAACGTGATGCCGCGGGTCGCGATCAAGGTTCGCGGGGGCGCTAATTGTGGACTCACCTGCGACCACTTCAATTTCTTCGAGATGGAGGAGGAGGGCGACCTGTTTGGCGACTTCAAAGACGAAAAAATCTGGAAGCGGCGCCGGCAGGAAACCGCGCAGATGATGGCTCCTGCCGGGGGTCGTGCTTTGCGGGTCGCGGGCGAAGAACTCAGGCAGGAGTGGTCTACTGCGGGAAGTCGGAGCGCGGGTCGCCAAGGGCGAAGTGGAAGTAGAGCAAGTAGTGGACAGCACAGTAGGGAAAGAACAAGTAGACCACGTGCAAGTACAGATAAGGCGGCACAGGAACAAACTGGCGGCCGAATTGACGGTTGCAGCGGGGTGGCATTGAGCGGAAAGGACCACACTTGGGGCGCTGGACCGAGCAGCAGGGAACAGAACGGGCGGAAAGCGAAAGGTACAGAAGATGAGATCGCTGGTGATGAAAATCTGGTTCCCAGTGCGACTGAAAATTATACGAGCGTGCGAAAAGTAGAAGCTGCAGACAGCACGGGGAGAGCAGGCACGCGTAGCCCGCACGTCGCCAGCGACGGCGCGCGGGCTGAGGGGCGAACCAGAGACCGAAAAGTTGCACCACCGAAGGATGAGTCCTCGTCTGCCAGCTCAAGCCAGCGGTCCAAGAGAACCACAACACCCACTGATGCCGACGGCATCGAGGCCACGCGAACCCTTCCCATTTCGGCGGAGACCTCGGACGCGGGACTCTTGGATGTGCAAGCGGTCACCGGGGCCGACCATCACCGGCCTGCGGAACAAACCGCAACACAGCCCCGGGGCGCGCGGCCCGTATTACAGTGAAAAATGCCCCTCCCCATACTGAAAAGGTATGTCTCTAAAAATTTGTGATGCCGATTTGTGACCACAAATCTTGTCTCTCTTGCAAGAGGGCAAACTCAGAGACTCCGCCACGATATGCAGGCGATTTGTAATGCTGCAAGGCCTATAGGGCAGACGTCTGCCATGCTAGGCCCCTACACCAAGAGCCCTTACTAGGCTTACGATCTGCGTGCAGTCCTTCACTGCAAGACAAATGTGATTTGTGTACTCAAATACGGCAACACAAGTCGCGTTTTCGATATGGGGAGGGGGGATTTTTCCTTTTAATAGCCCGGCGGTTTTCTCCTGAAGGACTACGACCCGGCCCGGGGGGACGAGGAGCCGCTGGAAATTTTCGTGGAGCAGCAGTCGCCCAAGCCGGTGGAGTTGCCGGTGCAGCCCCGCCCGAAGGGCATTCTGAAAAACTGCGACGAGGCCGAAGTCCGGCGGCACGTCGAGCCGGATCGGTTTTTCCACGACCAGAATTCGTCCAGTGGAAGCCAAATCACGAGTAACGAATGGAGCATGAAGAACCTTCTCGCCGGGGTATGAAAATGAAAACTGTCAGGGGTAGTGGAGTCGGAGAATAGTATTTGTTAAATTGAAGCGATCATGAAGGTGCTACATGGTCATTTGCATGGATAGCTGCTTGGTGACTTAATCGGGTGATAATTTTGTCAGCGCCAGACTTTACTTTCTTACATTTGATGATTTTTTGGCTCACGTGGTCTCGGTACAGTTTTCCGTTTGAAACGCTGAAGTGACAGGAGAGAAGAACGACGCGAGTAGCGAAAAAGAAAACACTCGGACAACCGGGGGTAGCCAGGCAAATAATCGCTCTTCGTCGGGAATAAAGACAAGTAGTCCGCGCGAGCAAGTACCGCGGGGGGCGAACAGGAACGGGAATCAGGATGAAGTTGCAAACGGAACATCACAAATACAAGATTCAGTGTTGAAACCAAACTCGGCAAGAACCGGCCCTGGTAAAAATAGAACTAGCGACGGCCACCAAACCGCTGCTGGTGAAACTGCGTCCCGCAGGGCGTCGCCCGCTGGTTCGTCGCGAACTTCAAGCGAGGCCGATTCTGTCGTAGCCGCGAAAAATCGGCTGCGCACCGGTGCGCGCATATTGCGTGCGAGGAGTAGCAGCGCAAGAAATAGAAAAAAAAACTCCTCCATCAAAACAGCGTCGCTCCCGCCACTGGCCGCATTCGTCCTCGGGGCTATCGCGCGGTTCATTGCCACCCTAACGGTCTATCCGTACGTGCGGGTGAAAACACTTGCGATCAGCAAAAAGGCCGTCGACGGCATATGGTCTCGAAAATTCTCTTCTCTTCAATGAAACTCGAGTTCAGGACTAGTGTAGTCGTGGTTCTTCTGCACAAAATTTCCAGCTCATCTCATGAGTTGGCGACAGAATCCCGTGAAATAAAGTCTTTCGTGTCAGTAAATGCATAGCTTGGGAACGGCATCGTAGAGAGGAATAAATTTTCGGCATGATAGGACGAAGTCGACAAGCCGGTTTCATACACCCGGTTGCTGCTGGAAACGCTGCGGGAGGGCGGTGTCGCTAAATTGTACACCGGAGCGTCGTTTGAACTGTCGCGCGGCGTCACGCAGTCCGCGGTAATTTAAAAGATGTGGGTGAAGATGTGTTGTCAACATGCTGATTTAATTACTATCGCGCCTTTTAGATTGATTGTTGTATTCCCGCCGCACTCCGATGTTCCTGTATTTCAATTTCTTGGTTAAAATTTTTCAGGCAGTTGTTTCTGTATACAATCAGGTGATGTTCCTCGTGATGGAGAGTTTGCGGACGCATGTCCGGCGCTTTTTGATTCGCCTGTTGGTGGACCGTGTGTCGGGCGGAAGAAGTCCTGACCAGAAATAATCACGTGGCCCGTGCGGTTGGCGAATTTTTTTCTTGCGCGTGGGCTTCCGTCGTGCCGGACGATTATCATCTCGAACGAGTACTTTCGCAGACCGGTGACCACTCTTGCGAACGACGGGAGGGAACCATCGTCTGCCTCCGAACCGATCTGGCTTTCACTCAGCGACAGAGTGAACGGATTTTGCCGGTGTGGCGTTTCATCTTTTTCTGCGGGGAAAGCGCGTGTAGTTTTTAAATCTAATGATTTAGATTTTTTAAATTTATCGGCAGCGTGCTTTTGCAGAGCAGCTGCGTCTTTCAGCGCTTCATCTCGCCTAGGTGTGCGCTTTGTAGTAAGTAGAGTTGTATCTCATACATGCAGAAGAAGAAAACCCTGAGCGGCACGGCGTTTGCAAAGAAGCGCTGATTTTATGTGTCGCCTGCACTTTGCTAAACACCCGGTGAATGAAAATGCTTTTGAGCGTGGAGTTTCTAAAGATGAATTCGAGAAGTATGCAAACGTGTTGGTAGAAGTACTCGCAATAAATTTAGAATGTCGAAGATTGTATGGCGTTCCAGGCGTGTTTGGGATACCTAGAGGTAGATTTGGAGTGATAAAGGAGTGAGGAGATGAGAGATTGCGATTGCGTCCTTGGAGACCGGTGATCTTGACTCAACCAAGTGGAGACTTCAGACTGCGGTTGACGAAAACGTAAATCCGTGCTGCGAAACGAGTGATTTAGGCTTTTCACGAGGGGTGATAGCGAATTTTGTTTCTCCGCACTGAGCAGCGCACAGCGCAATTCGTGATTCTCATTTTGTGTCCATTGGCTTCTACCTTTTACAAATCCGAAACACCAACGTTGGTAGGACAAAGGGAAGATCTCTTTTCTACTCCAAGGGGCTTGACACTCCTTACCAACACCAAAGATGGCTCTGCGTCGGGTCGGTGCTGCAGGGAAAGGTAAGATTTAGAATTTTTTTTGTCATGCGACGCATAAGATTCTAAATCCAGCTCCATCATAGTTGCCCGTACTTACTAAATACGTGTCAAATTATTAGACTTTCAAATCAGGTAAGCAGAAAGAGCTCACGGAGGAGCAGAAGCAGGAGATCAAGGAAGCCTTCGACCTCTTCGATACCGATGGCTCGGTATTTGGAATGTTTACTATTCCTTGCTACTTCGAGATAGCACGCCAGGGAGATGAATACTTAGTGATGATGCCCAAAAAGTACCGACCTTTTGCTTTTTTGGACTTTTCATGTAATAATAATTTCAATTCGAATTCAAACCACCTGAAAAACCCCAGGGTTCCATCGACGCTAAGGAGTTGAAGGTGGCCATGCGCGCCCTGGGCTTCGAGCCGAAGAAGGAGGAGATCCAAAAGATGATCGCGGACGTCGACGACGATGGTAGCGGGAGCATCGAGTTCGAGGAATTTTTGAATATCAAAGGCAAATCTGTTTGGGTCTGGAAGGAATCGTGATGCTAGTTTGTGATGAATGCTGGGCGGCGTACTGCAATACGCAGACACGCACGAGGACAATTTTCGGGGCTCTTCTGCGCTTCGCTTTTCACATGACGTTGCATGACAGGCAAGACGCTTTGATTCTATACCTACTGCTGATTTATTACAGATGCAACTGTCTCATGCGAGACCAGCATAGACAAACTTGCAATCTTCCAGACCCAACGATATTTGCATTGGATATTGAAGATGATGACGCAAAAGATCCTCAATCGGGACCCCAAGGACGAGATTCTCAAGGCCTTCCGCCTCTTCGATGACGACGAAACGGGTATGCGTTTTAGGAGGTTGTTACTGGAAAAAAATTTAATTTCACAACTCTATCCTGTTTGGTGATGTTTTTTTTTTCGATTTCCTCTGAAAGAAAAATTTTTTAAGTCCGATTTAAATCGCGTGTTGTGATGAAAGCGAACTTGATGTTTGCAAACCACTCGTAGGTAAAATTTCGTTTAAGAACCTGAAGCGCGTGGCCAAGGAGCTCGGTGAGCGAATGACGGACGAGGAGCTCCAGGAGATGATCGACGAGGCAGACAGGGACGGTGACGGCGTATGAGAGTGCACAAGCCCACCCTCTCCCCCTCATTGGCGTGGTATACTGAACAGCAATACAAGGACCAGCACACTTGAAGCCTGCGCATGAGAAGTGCACGCGTAACATGTAGTACTGTTTGCGATTCCGGAATTTTTCATGCAAACACTGCAACAAGACAGCAACTGGATTCGGGATTTAGCATGAGAATCTCAGGGGAGGGGGACTTGTGCACTCTCATACGGCGAGGTCAACGAGGAGGAGTTCTTGCGCATCATGAAAAAGACCAACCTGTTCTAAGAATTTGTCAAGCATAATCCGATTTAGAACAGTTGCTTTTTCAAAATCCGAAGCGAACTACACCTGTAAGTACTTCCGTAGTTAGTTCGTTCTTGTCCGCTGGCCCCTTTGCGCTACTGTTTCTAGCTTGATACTCCTTTACAAAGCAATTATTTCGTCGAGGTTTTATTTACGATTAATATCCTGACTCCTCATAGTACAGACTCAGGGCGAAGATAAAGTACAGCTTGTTCTCTGCAAACCCGAGAATATGCTTTACGGATACTTATCGATATTCTGAGATTCATCCTCTTTGCTATTGTTGATTACCTTTCAGTGTTATCGTGGTCGAGCCGGATTCTTCGAACCGGAAATTGGTCCTACTGCACCAGTTAGCAGTTTCGTAGTGTGGGTGCTGCAGCAGGGCCACCGATTAAAAGAAGATTTTAATTTTATTGCATTTTTTATTACAGTATTGTAGCGATGAACGATAGTCATGAATGGAGTAAATTGAGTGGAGGTCGTCTCTGGTAGGCTGTGGTGTTGGAGAAAGAGAGATGGAACAACGCGATCGTGAATACGAGAAGAGGACGAGTCACGGGCCGCACAAAACCTGCTACGGTACGCCACCGACCTGAAAACACGTGGAGGCAGCTTTGGGACGCACCACCAGCAGCACTCCTCCAGAACTAGCGTCCGGTAACATTCCTGACTGCCGCACCACAAGAACCCTCGACCCGCCGACGCGGGGCTGTGAAAGGACAGGGTCGCAAGTGCACGACTTCAACAAACTACAGTACGTGGTCGTGAGATCATATCTGAGGGGTTTCGTACAACGTCACAAAAGTTTATTCGGTTGGCAAAAAAAGCGATGTGGTATTGAGTAGGCGTTTATTTGTTCAACATACTTGATCTGTCCGAACAAACTCCCTGTACCAAAAATGAACTCGTCCCCATGTTGATTAACTTCGATCGCACTTTCAACGGCTCCGTCTTTGTGGCAAGTTTCATCCTCACACACCACGAGTTCCAAATGACGGTCCGTTAAGAAGAGGGTGTTGAGCAGGTTCGAGCGTAACGTTTGAAATTGTTGCCGGAGCGTGGATGTGTCGTGTCCGAAAACTAACTAGGAAAACCTTGCGAGAGCGAAAGCTCTCTGGAAGTTGTTGCGAGAGCGAAAGTCGAGACATCCTCGCTGCACGACTACTGCAAGGAGCGGGAGAGCAATAATATCGCAGTAGTGGTTTTTAAATTCGTTTTCGAACAGACGACGGTTTCAGACGGCTTCTGGCAGTGGGGTTTCTCGCCCGATTGCCTGTGTGCGATTTGTTGTTGTAGAATCTTTAGTTGTCAGAGACTGTATTTATGTATGATTCTTTTATCAGCGCAGCAACTAGCGCCACGACGAGGATGACCGCAACACGTAATGTTTTCAGGAGTCCTCTCGCCGCCCTGGCCTGGGTTTGCCTGTTCTCCAGTAGCGTGCGCGGTTTGGCAGGAGGTAACGCAATTATTCTCAGTGTTGGAAACCATACTGATGCATGATGTGTTGAGGACTAAGTAGCGCAAGAGCGCGAGCTCGAGAAATGTCAAGATCGCGCACGTTTTTTTACTTCCGGCCAGCACTTATTGTTCGTTTTCTAGAACACTTATTGTTTTCAACAAACAAATAACAAATCAACTACCCATTTAGATCCGACAACAAAACCCGAGATCGAGGCAGACTTGCAGCGTTCGCCACCGTCGACGCAGGAGCAGGTTTCCAGAACAGACATCCGGGTTGCGACTTCTCCTGCAAGTTCGTCTGATTCTTCAACAAACAGCCACCCAGCGCAACCAGTCGAACAGCAACAAGAAGACCAAGATGCTGGAACACCACCACCAGCATTACCCGGTCAACAGCAACCGCCGCCGAAGCGAGGGAAGATACTGCGCCGAGAAAGCAACGCTGCAACGGCAGATGTTGTCGTCGTAGCACCAGCTGCGGTAGCAGCTCCAGCTCGTGTGAGCTACTCGGCAATCGCGGAGATCGACCCGAATTCGGAACTTGTTTCGTCGTCCACGTCTGTCGTCCAGGTGCGGGCAGCTGGTGGCACCGGTGAACCCGGAGCGATTGCGGCGCCAGGGGCTGCGGCGGCGGGCGGCGCCGGAGCAACAGCCGGCGGGGAGGACGTCCTCCGGCAGAAGTTTGACAAGTACGACAACGACAAATCGGGACACCTGGACGCGGAAGAGTTTAAGAAGTTACTGGTGGAGACGTCAGGAGATTACTTTCGCGTGATCGACAAGGACGGTAGCGGGGAAATCGACTACGATGAGTTCAACCACTGGCACACGCAGGTTGGCTATCAAATGCAAATATGTCTGGGTCTGGAAGATTGCAACTTGTCACGCTAAATCCGAATCATGCAAAAATCTGTGTTGCGTGAGCGGTAAAAGCTGTCCACTTTCGGGGCCAAGTTGGAACTAGGTAGTTTCTGATGCAGGATAGGCATCACAAAGACCTCACAGAGTCTGTCATGCCAGGTCCAGCATTCCAGACCTCATGGGTCAACATGGAAAACGTGCGTGACAAGTTTACAGGCTTGTTCCAGACCCAGACAGATTTGCAGTTGATATTGGCCACCAGGAGCAGAAACTGAAAGAGAACTTTGCGAAGTTCGATGCCAACAAATCCGAGCGGATTGACATAAAGGAATTCACGTCGCTTATCAACAGGAAAAATCCCCCCTCCCCATATCAAAACGAAATTTCTGATGCTGGATTTGCGTACACAGATCAAATTTGTGCTGCAGTTGAGGACTGCAGGCCTATATCATGCAACTGTAGAGAGGTTTTAGTCTAGGCACTTAGCATGAAGGACGTCTATGCTGTAGGCCCAACAGCATTACAAACCGCCTGCATAATCGGGCGGAGCCCAAAGCATTGCTTTCTTGCAAGACAGACGCGATTTGTGGTCACAAATCAGCTTCGCAAATTCTCTGAGGCGTGCCTTTTCAATATGGGGAGGGGGGATTTTCCCTTACGATATCGCTGCTCGCGGCGACCTCGGACGATTACTTTGATACCATTGATTATCGGAAGAAAAAACTGTTTCACTGTAAACTTGTAATGCAGAAAACGCATCTGAGAAGTGGTTGTCTTGCTACACATGCAAGACGCTAGATTTTCCGCTGTGTTTTCCCTCAGGAGTCTCGCGTGGCAAATTTTCTCTGTGATGTAGCACAAACTTGTGATGCAAAACTTGCAAAATCCTTACAGTGAAGCACTTTTTTCGTGCGATATTGACGCCGACAAAAGCAAGCAAATCGACTACAAGGAATTCGAGGACTGGCACCGGCGCGCCGGTTTCGGGGCGGCCCAGGAGAAGGCGGATCTGAAGGCGAAGTTCGACAAGTACGACGAGGACAAGACGGGGCACCTGGATATCCTGTGTAATAAAAACGTCCCCACCCCAGAGTTGTCATGCAAACCTGCATGCTGAAATTGTTGCTGATGCGGAGACCCATGAGAAGCAGTTTCTACTCGTGTTTTGGGATTTGTGATGCTAGAATCCGCATGATAGGCTAGATCTGCGATGCTGCTGAACAAGCTAAACAGGTTATTACACTGCAGCGAGGACAAACGTGTCATACAGTCTGTTTATGTCATGCGCAACGGCAAAAGCTGACAGATTTGTCTAGCAGATTTCCCAGGACGAGATTTCCCAGCTTGCTTCTGGTGCGGGGACGTTTTACTCAGGATACTGGACAAGGCCGAATGGAAGAAGTTGCTGGTCGAAACCTCACACGACTACCTCAACGTGATCGACAAGGACCACAGCGGGCACATCGACTTCGAGGAGTTTGAGAGTTGGCACAAAGCCGCCGGTATGCATTGCAAATATGTCTGGGTTTGGGAGGACGCGAACTTGTCATGCTAAGTCTGGATCGTGCAAAAATTTGTGTTGCATGACTACCGAAAGCTGTCCACTTTTGGACAAGTTTAGAGGCAGTTTGTCATGCAGGTTAGGCATCATAGAGACGTCGAAGAACCTGTCATGCTAGGTCCTGCATTCCAAACCTCATGGGGCATAGAAAATATGCATGAGAAGTTTGTATTCTTGCAGACCCAGACATATTTGCATTCGATAGCCGGAGTGGACGAACAGGGCGGGGCGGCGGAGTTGAAGCAAAAATTTGACCAGTTTGACGCGGACAAGTCGAACCACATGGACAAGGAGGAGTTCAAGAAGCTGGCCGAGATACGCATTGCAAATGTGTCTGGGTCTGGAACATTGTAACAATAAACTTGTGATGCGTACTGCTATAGATCACACAAAAACTTGTCTTGCGCGGATAGCACAAGCTTCTCCTACTTTTTGGCCATGGTGAAACGGTAACATTTATTCCTCGTGCGGGTGGATATGCATCGCAAAGCGGATCTTCCAAGTAGAGGACCCGTGACGCTAGTATCACTTACATGTCAGTCCTCGGGGGGCATTCAAAATCTGCATGGGAAAAAACTCCTGCGCTCATCCAGACCCAGTTATGTTTGCACTCGATACGAGGCCACGTCCGACGACTACTTCAAGTTGATGGACAAGGACAACAGTGGGCACATCGATTTTGATATCAAATGCAAATAATATCCCTCGATGTCTGGAAAGACTCAGCGAATTTGTGTTGCTGAGTCTTGCATGAAAGGGCGATGCTCTGTACGGTCTACTTGACGCATCACAAATATTTTTCGCGTGGTATTGCGAGTGCGTGGTAGTATGCTTTGCACGACCAACAAAGTTTCACAGCATGACACAAAAACTGGCCATTCGTATTCCTGCATTTGATATTCTATGCTGTCCTTGAAATTTTCCATCACAAATCCAGACCCAGACATATTTGCAATGCATATTTGAAGAGTTCGACGAGTGGCACAAGAAGGTGGGATTCACCGTGTCCGAAGAGAGCGAGCAGTGGTACCACAAGTTGCCGCACTGGTCCTTCCTGATGGCCGGGGCGGTTGCCGCCGTGGCTGCGCTCGTGGTGCTGGTGAAGATGGAAGCGGGGGACGGGGGTGGGGCGGCTGGGCGCGAGGGAATGGGAAGCCAGCCCGACCCCGATGTCGTCGGGGAAGTGTAAGTAGAGCGTGCTGCTCTTTTTATTACGGACAAAAGGAAGCAAAGCCCCACCAGGACAGTCGAATAGGTAGAAAGTAGCTATAGAAGTAGAAGCGCGGCTGCAATACCAATACTACATACGGAAAATTATGTAGAGATACTCAACGCTTCAGAGTTCGTTATGTAAAAGCAAATGGATCTTGTGATGAAAAAGTGTGAGCAATTTACAGGAGGAAAGTTCTTGCTCGTCTCGGATGATATCCTGTACCAACTCGTTTCAGTTTTGATAATTGATGAGGCTGTGAGCGCTACCTGCAATCAAGCGGGGAACGCTCTACAATTTATGAAGTTGCTCGTTGTACTTGTAGAAAAGAACGTACTTTTCGTTTTGTATCACCACTGCTGTACACCCTATCGTCACTAATGTCGCCTACTAGACTGTGTAAATTTGATATTAGTTTGACACTATGAACCGGATTCAACAGCTACCAGAATGCACGACCACCCCAGACCAGCTGATTGATTTTGGAAGAAATTATGGGCCTCAAAAAGTCGGGGAAGCTAACCACGATCGACAATCACGAGTGGTGCTGATGTTTTTGGGTTCGGCTTGTCAATCGTGGTAGGGAAGAACTACCCTAAATAGGCATGATTCATGTCGACCGTGCTGCTAAGCATCCACGTGTTTTTTCGTAGTACCAAATGTGGACGAATTGCTGGTCGCTCACGCTCGCTAGTACTTTGTTCTCCGCAAGAATAAAAGTTTAAGGATGAACAAAAGTGCTGGGATATTTTTTCCCCTCAACTACCACTACTACTCCCTCAACGGTCTTCTCCGCAAACAAAAACAATGACATCAGCGACTTCCGGCCTTGCGCAGAAGCTGCTGCTGGTTGGCTGTGGGTACCTGCTCGGTATGCTGATGGTGGAATTTACGGTAGACCGGAGCACGCTCACTCCGGGGCTGCATTCGAACGTTTACTGCGTCTTGCTGGACGACGTGTTCGCGGTCGGCGGCGCTTTTCGTGTTTGGATCCCCATTATGCATTGCAAATATGTCTGGGTCTGGGAGGATGCGAACTTGTCATGCTAAGTCAGGATCGTACAAAAATTTGTGTTGCATGACTACCAAAAGCTGTCCAGTTTTGAACAAGTTTAGAGGCAGTTTGTCATGGAGGATAGGCATGATAGATAGGGACGTCGCAGAACCTGTCATGCTAGGTCCTGCATTCCAAACCTCATGGGGCATGGTGGAAAATATGCATGAGAAGTTTGCATCCTTCCAGACCCAGACACATTTGCATTTGATACCCATGGCAGTCACCGGCGGGGCTTTGCTGCTGCAGACCTACGACGCATACTACCGCGCTGGACAAGCGTCGTCTTCGGTTCATTATTCTGGAAGCTTTTTCTTGAAAAACGAGGAAGACCGCTCGCGCTTTGGGGACGAACCACTGACCGCCGGCGTAGCCGCGACGGGACACCGACCAAGCCTTGGGTCCTCCACCACAAGTGCGCTCGGGACAGGTGCGACGACGGCACGACAGCGGAACAGGCAGGTGAATAAATCGCCGAGTAGTCGTGGCAGAAGTAGCAGTGGCAAAAATACTGCGACGAGGAGAAAAAGCCCGGCCGCCAGCGGGATTGTGAAAAAAAATGCGCAGATGAAAGCGGAGAGCGCACGAGTCGACGAGGTGGTGGATGCAGGAGAGGATCATCATGCGACGAAAACTTTGGCTTTAAATCTCGCGTCTATCTTCATATTCGGGGTGCCGTGCTTGCTGTTTTTTGGGCGGACCCTGTGGGCGACCATGTCGTACTGCGCGTCAGGGACGCGGGCGCTGGAGGGCGAGGCCTCCATGATTCGGGACATCATGGGCTTCTCGCACTTTAGTCTGATCTGTCTAGTTCTCTCCGTCGTTGGACTCCAGCTGTACAGTCACTGAGGAGGTTGTAATTTAAGTCTTCGATGCAGTATCTATTGCCTGTTTCCGCGAATAATTGCGGTGATGAACAAGAGTCACACGCACATGAGCAACATGATCTTCTGGGTATATAGTAATTGTAACCTCCTACTTCGCGTGTAGTTACAGACACACTGCGGCTAGCTTTCCCTGCTACATGCAAGCTTGCAATATTGGCCGGCTTGCTGCGATGTTGAGGCCCCTGAGGAGGAAGAGAAGTTGCGTGCGTCGCATTTGCAGTTGCTGCCAAAGATATATTTATAAAAGTTAGACGCCTCAAAGAACTACACGCATTGATCGAGAGGTGAAATCGGTGGTTTTGTAGTTAGGACAAATTTCGAAAATTTACGCTGAGAGAGAGAGCAACTCAAAACGGCTTGTGGGCATTCTGTTTTCCTAAATCGTGTCTACTTCGAGGAATGCTTTTCTAGCAAACGGTCGGTTTTTTTTAGCCGCACTGAAATTGCTCCTGCATGGCTTTCGTTATCGTCGCCGATTAAAAACTGCATACAGCTACCTCTACCTTCCCCCGCTTCCCACATTCTCATTCCTCCCCACACACCAATAATTCGCGTTTTCTCCTAAAAGTGAGTCGTCTTCGTAAGAATCAATCATGATTGTCGGCCGACACCATAGGACATAGGACAAATTAGAGTCGAGTAGCAGAAGGCACAGTTTGATGTGTCGAATCGCAGAATCAATTGCACCCACGGCAACGGTTTGTTTTTGAAATCAAAAAGCAAGCTGTGAAAACAAAAATTAGCTGTGTGTAGGTGTATTAACTGGTGTTTTGTTGTTGAGCTACTGGTTCGTGTATAGGAACTGTAAAACCGTGTATGCATACGAGCTAGTTTATCAGGAAAGGTCATTACAAACCTGCGGTTTATGACCACCACAATATCGGGACAAAAGTCTTCCGTTCTATGAATGTTTTTTGCAAGTAACGACAAACTTCCTTCTCCTTGTACATAATCGATTTACTTTATCAATAACTTTAAGTCCGTCGATATCATTTTCATGTCCTCCCCCTTACCCCCGGAACAGGCGGCCGCCCCCGGTGGGTCCGCCTTCGGTTCGTGGTGGAGAGGTACGGCTGCGCAAACCCCGCAACAAACCCGCAAGAATTCCGCGATAATTATGAATACAGGCATGAGCAGTGGCAACTCGTCGAAAGACCAGGGATCGTTGCCCCGCGAAGGAGAGAAGCGGACTGCAACCCCAAGCGCTCCTCCTGGTCATCATTCCACCTCGAGCGGGGCTTCTGTGCTGAAGCCGACATCGTCTTCACTAGCAACAGCGAGACAGCAGCCTAATATCTTCCCGTCGAAAATGAATAAATCCCCGTCGGCACAAAAGCGGTCGATAATCGCTTTGTTCCTCATCTCGCTTCTCATGTACGCGCGTTACCTGAAAAAACAGTACTCCTCCTCCACTAAGTTGCGGTTTTTCCTGGGGCGCTGGCTCCTCTCCACGGTGAAAACGTTTGTGGTGGCCGTCGGCAGCTGGCGGTTGTTCTACTACCTGCTGGACAGCCGGCCGGCCTTCCGGTTCCTGGTCGACAGCTTTTGGCCCTGGCTGCCGGTGGTAACGCAGCCGTTCCGGGTGACGTATCTGGTGCTCTACAAGGCGGTCTTTCTGCGGCGGATGACCAGCCCGAAGTGGAGCGCGCGGATGGAGTTTCTGGTGGAGGCCACGCGGTCGCCGCAGTGGATCGTGCACGCCTTCTTCAAGGGCGACGGGCTGGCCTACCTGCGCGACTGCGTGCAGCCCCTGTCGCACTTCATCACGATCTTGGACAAGTACGAGCTGCTCCTGACGAAGGCCTCCTTCCCCGGGGTGCGCATCCAGCGCCACCCGCGGGGCATCCAGTCCGAGCCGTGCCGGATCACCTGGTTCGACTTCCCCGGGCCGGTGCGCCCGCAGCAATCCGTCAGCGCGCGCGTGTGGAACTGGCTCTTCCCAGATCGGAACGCCGGGGCGGCGACAGGTACTTACTTACTACTAGCGGCCAAATTATCTTTATGTAGTCGATAGAAGTACTGTGGTCGTTTCATCTTCCTCAACTAGCAGCGTTTATTGCCTTCTTTCGGTTCATCTGCCTTATTTGCGTAGTGGTCTCTTCGGTGGTTGATGAAACAGCTAAATTTCTACTCCCGATTCAAGTAGGAGTCATGAAAAGGAAAACAGTCCGATAAAGCTCCTTCAACATGATCTACAGAATCCTTCACGGCGCCCACCTCGCTCGAGAGCGACGACGCGGGGCTGATCTTCTACTGCCACGTATCAACTGCAAAAGTGTCTGGGTCTGGAAAGTTGCCAGGTTCTTTGTCATGCATATTTTGAATGATCCATGACGTCTGTGATGTATGCCCTAGCATCACTGATTTTTAGAGAACTTTTCGATGCCTCTACCGCATGAGAGATACCCTTACCGCGTAGCACAAACTGGAGTCCTCTTGCTGGTCATGCAGTGCAAATTTGTTTAATAGAATCCAGAGACAGCATGACAAGTTTAGAATCTTCCAGACTCAGACACTTTTGCAATCCATACCACGGCGGGGGCTACAACTGTTTCACGGGCGACAGCCACTCGGAGTTCATTTCCCGCCTACTGTACAAGTTCCAGCAGCGACACGGGAAGCGGCTGCGCGCGTGCGTGCCGGATTACCGGCGGCCGCCGGACCACCCCTTTCCGATATCAAATGTAAAAATGTCTTGGTCTGGAAGAATTCATCTTTGTCATGCTTGTCTGGCATGACTCTTAAATCTGTCACGCACGTTACCCAAGAGCTGCGTTTTTCTGTGATGCAGAGGCGCAGTTTGTCATGCAGAATAGGCAACACCTAGAAGCTCAGAAACTTGTAGTCGTGCTAAGCGAGCATTTGTAGCCTCATCATGAGACGCTACCCAGCATCACAAGCTCCCAGACCCAGACACTTTTACACTTGATATCCGACCGCGGTAAACGACTGCGTGGATTCCCTCCTCTTCGTGTACCGCACCTGCCCCCGCTACACGCCGCAGAACACGTACCTCGTCGGCGACAGTGCCGGCGGGGGGCTGTGCGTCGCCGTGCAACTGGTTCTCAAGGAGCGAAATTTGCACCACTTGATGCCGGCCTGCTCGGTGCTGATTTCTCCCTGGGTCGACCTCACGGATACGGGCTACAAGCCTGTCCCGGGGATGTTGACCGTCACCGACATCTGGGCGGGGAAGATGAACAAAACCGCGAACGCGAAACTCGGGCAGCAGCAGCAGCTTTCCCCCCAAATAATCCCCGAGATGATGAAAGTCACCACTACGCCGGTCCGCAGCCGCACCCAGTTATCAAAAGGAAAGATCCTCCCTCCCCATACCGAAAAGAAGTTTCTGATGCTGGATTTCAGTATACAAATCAGATGTCTGTTGCAGTAGAGGACTGCAGGCATATGCCAAGCCTGAGCCGAGAGGTTTTTGCGTAGGCTCCTAGCATGAAAAACGTCGATGGTGTAGGCCCAACAGCATCACAAACCGCCTGTATAATGCGGCGGATTCTGTGGATTTGCCTTCATGCAAGACAAACAGGATTTGTGGCCACAAAGCTGCATCACAGATTTTCAGAAGGATGCGCTTTCAATATGGGGAGGGGGGATGTTTCCTCACAATACCAGTCGCTCGAAAACGAGGAGGGCGAGGTGACCAGCAGCACGGACGCGAGCGAGAATTTGGCCAGCAAAACCACGGCCTTTATCCACGTGTTGAAGAACGAAGAAGGTGGCCAGAATCCGACGCAGCTGTGCGACGCCAACGTCGAGGACAAGCAAAAGCGCAAGGAGCGCAAGGAACGGCGGCAGATCCTGCTGAACAACAAGTTTCCGGACTGCGACTATGTCAACCCGTGCATGCTGGAGTACGCAGCCTGCATGTACTGCCCGGACGCGAAGCAGCGCGGCCACCCGCTGTGCTCCCCGCTATATGGCGATTTGGTGAATTTGCCGCCCATGCTGATTCAGACCGGCGGCGGCGAGATGCTGCGGAAGCAGAACCTGAAGTTTGCGTCGCGCGCGCGGGCCTACGGAGTCGACGTGCAGCTGCTCATCTACGAGGACATGCCCCACGTGTTCCAGTTCTTCACCCCTTTCGTCGAGTTGAGTCAGCAGGCGCACGCGCACGCGGTGGACTTTCTGGAGCACCGGATTGCGAACGCGAGTCTGGAGTCCGACACGGCCTGCTCCGAGTTTACGGATTCCACGTCCGCGCGGGACTTTTTCCTTCACGACCCCTTCCCCGGCGGGCACAACTACCTCATCCGGAAGGGCGGGCGGTTTTCGCAAGTGGACGAGCACGAGAACAACGAGGACGACATTCCGGACCTGCTGCCGAAGCGCATCAGCCAGCGGTCCTGGACCCATCAGGAACTGCACCGGGGGATGTCCAGTAACAGCAGCAAGGAAACGGCCGTTTTGCAACGAATTTCGAGCGACGACGGCGAGGACGGGGCAGCCGGTCGGCGCGAGCAGCGCCGGCGGGGGTCTTCGAGCCGAAAGGGAGCTGTCACTGGTTCGAGCGAGAGGAAGAGTAGAGGAACTACTAGCGGAGTTGTTTCTGACCACGCTGCAAATTCCAATAATCTGCTTCCAGACGGCAGCACGACCGGCGCTTCGTCCAGTGCGAATCACAATAACAAGAGTGGTTCGAAGAGTAGAAGTATTACAATGAAAAATGCCCCCACCCCCGAACTTGAAAGCATTTGTATTGCAAACCTTTCCAAATGAAACATTCGCCCTCTTGCATGTATCAGCATCACAGATTTCCGATTGTGAATAGCAAAAATTTGTATTGCAAAAGATCCCAGCAAGAGCGGTGCTCGTCATGCAAGCGATGCGAAACAACACTAGAATCTGCATCAGAAAGATTCATATTCCTTTCATGCATGACAAAAAGGTTTCATTTGGAAACCTCGCATCACAAATTTTTGCAACTTTGGGGGTGGGGGGCACTTTTCACTGTAATAAGAAGGCGGTCCACGGTGCACCACCGGAATTCAACAGCTTTTTTGTCCTCCGGGTTGAAAGACATCAATTTAGGAGACCTATCAAATGCAAAAGTGTCTGGGTCTGGAAGATTGCAACTTGTGATGCTGTCTCTGCATTATACAAAAATCTGTATTGCGTGACCAGCAAGAGGGCTCCAGTTTGTGCTACATGGAGAGGGTATTTCTCATGCGGGATAGGCACGAGAAAGCCCGCTAAGAATTTGTGATGCCAGGTTATGCATTAGAGACGTCATGTGTCATGTAAAATCTGCATGACATCCGGGCCACTTCTTAGGGTGGTCGAGAAAGTCAGGCTAAAGACGGTACGGGCAGAAGTGGATCGGTTTAAACGCGCGCTAGTATGTAGCGTTAGTTAAGGTAAATTATACTTAGTGTAGCTTGGGTTAGATAGTTTATTTCCCATCTTGGGGCTTGTAATGTAGTTGCTCCGCCCTTGGTTGTTCGGGCTTGTTCCGGCCTTTTGCATGATCTGATGCTGTATTGGTCGGTGGTGTAGGTGGTTCCATCTCTGCTCGGTCGCGGACGTTTTTGCATTTGTCCGCTGCGACAGTTCGCCTTGTTGCAGCTGCTCGCCATGAAGACAACTACATTACATCTCGCCTCACTTTTTTAAGATGGGTTTTTTCGTACTTCGGACTGTGCCATAGTAGATGACTTTACCGCTTTTTTACTTTTCTTTTATCCCTCAGCGCTGGTGGGTCTGCCGGCAAAGTTATCCCTACAACTCAGATGGCTACAAAGCTCATCCCGCAGCCGTCCCAGGAGCTCTTGTGACTGTCTCTCGGTAGAGATCGCTTTGCCCGTGCTTATTCCGCTCAGAGTTTGCTGGGTAGGTGGCTACCGTTTTAAGTTTATAAACGAATGGGACGCCCTGCCCTTAGCCTTCCAACAGGACATCCAGACCCAGACATTTTTGCATTTGATCCAGAAGGCGGTCCACGGTTCACCACCGGAATTCAACAGCTTTTTTATCCTCCGGGCTGAAAGACCTCAATTTAGGCGACCAAGAGGAGAACAATGGTATCGAACACCTGCGGCAACACAGCACGGAGAATATATTCACGGAGCAGGCGGAGCGCGCGGCAGCCAGGAAGCAGTCCACGACGAGCACACGGAAAATGGCGGTTTTGTCCAAAAAGTTGCGCAGTTTCGGGGACCTGCATCTGCACTCCAACTTCCACGACGAACCGCTGCGGAAACTCGCGATGCCATGATCATCTTCAAACTGGGCGATAAGAATTTAGGGCCTGTTGATGCACTTCTTCGTCTGCTTCCAACACGACTCCCTCCCTCCGCACACGGCGCATATTACCGGATGCTGGTTTAAAACACATTCACAGACCAAATGCCGCAAAAATGATAGAAGTGAAGTAGTTACAATATGGAAATTTGTTTGGGTTCTATTAGTCATACGATTTGAAAAATATAGACGACATGAACTTTTCCATCTGATATGACCCCGAGGCGAGAAGTGGCACCGCATCGGAGATTCGGAACATGGGTGTATAGGCAGGCTAAGAGGGAGAAAGGAGCAGGCGGCGTCGTTCCTCCTCTCTGGCGTTTGTTTATGAAGAAGGGCAATATGATTTTTAGGAGATGTTGAAGGTGACTAGCACTTGCATCACAAAAGTTGGAACATGAGACTCCTCGCTTTGAAGGGCATATCGGGACGAGTGTTTCTACTAGGGCAGTGCATGTGTATGGGTCGACGTGTGATTGTATATTACTGTTCTGTCATTGGCACTCGGGACCCAGTAACCTGTTTGGAACTTGAAGATGAACCAAGTTCTTCCAGATTTTTCGCACTTTTTGGAACTTTTTTTTGCCGACATGATGTCTACTTTGTCGTGACTTTATTCAAACAGAGGCTCCTGCACCACTCATGGAGCGCAATGCCGCAGTTTTTCGGTGTGCTGACACACATAGTACATCAGTTAAGCGCTAGCAATGTTGTTCTCAGGACGAGCAGGAACAAGTACTCAGTCGTAAAACTATTATAGTCGACTTACCTAGCTTCTGCCTGCAGAGCGATCGTGTACGGAAAATTTGCTTTCGTCGCAGAGAGAATCGTGGCTTTTCATCTGGCACCAGCACAGAGGTCGAGGAGTTGGAGTTGCTGGTGTATTATTCGAGTTGCTTATGCGGTCGCTGTCTTCGGCGGCTAGAACGAGTCGTCGTTTTTCGTTTCATTATTTCTATTGCAAAGCGCTATCACTTGGGCTTAGCTCAGCGCAGCTCTGAGAGTCGGTTTTTGATGAAGAACCTCCTGCGTATGTAATTACTTAGTCTTATTTTATCAGTAGCAAGTACGAAACCCCCCTCCCACGGACAACGGAAGAGCAGAAGGCGTGTTCTTGTTGGCAAGGAGTGGACAAGAAGTGTTGCTCTGTTTCTTGCGTTCTTTCGGAACGCAGCGCTGGGTGTTCGCCTTTTGTCAGCAGTGTTTTCGGATAAAGACTAGGGTAAAATTGTACTTCCAAGAGGACAAGAACATCAAAACTGATAAGTAGGTATCTAGAGTCAAAATCAGCACGGCTCGTCCTTGCTTGCTTGGACGTCGAGCAAGTACAATCGTGCTGTCATCATTTGTTTCTCATGTCTACTTTGATGAAAGAACGCAATCGTCTTTCTTAGGGTCGCATTGATTTGCGCGACGAAGAGGAAAGAAGTGAGATTTTCGCGGACAGAAGTCAGCACTGATTACATTATTCAACTCGTCCGCGAGCTTCTCATATGTTGACTTTGTAAGATTATTTATTCAAGGAAATTACACACAGACACAAAATGCTGGGCCTGTTTCTTCTACTTCAGGTGCACAGCTAGAAACAGGGTGGAACCCTGGAGGTCAGACCCTCCTCTGGCCACCAACATCAGAGGAATTCCGTTTCTGTTGCTCCCTCGCAGCACGACCAGCAGCTCCTTGCTGACTACGCGCAACGTGGTGTGCCGGGGCGAACTGACGGAGAGGTGGACTTCTGGCCGGAACAACTACACCGAGAGTAAGTAGACTCTTTTCAACATCATGCAGCCCCCAGGTGGACCCGGTGCCCCCGCGGGGGGCTACGAGATCCTCGGGGCCGTCAAGATCAAGGATGGTGTCTTCATCGGCGATGAGCTAGCGGCGCAAGATCTGGAATTTGTCGTGGCAAACAAAGTCACACACATCATCAACTGCTGCGGTATGGTCACTTTTATTTCTTTTGTTGCATTTATTATTGCAAAAGGACGTTATGCTTATGACACAACCCCAACCACAAGCACGACTGCCTCGGCGGGGGATGATGTTGAAAAATTCCTTTGTTTCGATAAAAACTGCGACACTGCGCACAGCGAAACTACAGTGTACTATCGCAATTAATATTATTTAATCGTCATCGTGAAAATTATCTTCTTCTATCTCTATTTCTCATATACGAGGTCGCAACGTCCCGAACCACTGGGAGTCCATCGGAGTGGTGTACCTCACATACTATTGGGTGGACAACGAGAATCAGATTATTCTGGACAACAAGGACGTCGTCGCCAACGAATGCTTTCACTTTCTTGAGGAAGCGCTGGGCAACGCGGAATCCGTGCTGATTCACTCCGTCCGGGGACAGAGCAGGAGCTGCGTGGTACTAGAAAGGCGGGGGAATGATAATGATTTATTATTGGGACCATCTTCGGTCTTCATCTTCACGTTGAGCCCCCCCCGTGTTGAGTTGTTGAGCTTGACACAACGAACTCGTCGTGCTGCGAAGTAAGTAGATATGGTTGAAGCTCTAATAATATGCAGGCCTTCTGAGAGACTCCTCGAAACAAATGCAGTGCAGGGTCGAAGAAAGCATTTTAGTTTAATGTTTCTGATGTTCCCGCCTTCTTCCAGGTCCTTGCCGGCTACATGATGCGAAAGTACTGCTGGGGATTGCGAAAAACCATGGAGTTCCTGACCTCTCGGCGGCCCGACATCAGTCTCAAGCCCGCATTTTTGCAGCAGCTGTCGCAATACGAGCGCCGTCTCGTTGCAAATAGCAACAAAAAGTTCACTGTGGACTGGAGTGGTATAAAAGTTTTTTGATCGACGCATGGTTGTGCACCTATACAATTTTTTCTTTTGGTTTTTTGCAGATGTTGCCCTTGAGGTTCGTGTGCCTGCTATCCTGGAACTTGGATGTCGTGAGTAGATGATTCTTGCCATATCTAACAGCCGAACAACTTAAAACAGAAACGCCCGGGAACTCGGGTTTGGATGGGGACGAGCTGCTACTGAGGAATACCTACATGAACAGCCACATCGAAAACCTCAGCAAAAAGGAGGATAAACGTATTATTGGCAGATGAAAAATTTTGTTATATATTTGATGTTTTTTTCAACTGGATTAAGCGATACCACGAAGTAGAACTGAGGTGGACCCCGGTTTGTCATTAATTTCCCACGACGAGGAAACAAAATCAAAAACAAAAACTGCACAGCGGGTTCTCAAAACCCCCACAACCGGCGACTGGAGTGGTCCGATAGTGGGAATGATGATAAGGGCAAACTCGAGAAAACGCCGGGGGGCGACCGTCCGCACTGCAAAACGGGGCCGAACGGACAGTTTATACTCAAGTCGATAATAAAAGCAAAACTCTCAGGCGGAAGTTCGTCGACTTCTGCGGGGGCCTCATCATCTTCTTCCTCCGCTGGAGCTGTTGACCACGCGATAGGCGTAGCACCGCAGCAGGCCACGACGACCATGGGTAGTAGTAGTCATAATACGAGCAATAATATCACGAGCACAAGTGCCAGTAGCAGCTCTACGCGCCCGAAATTGCCGGTCGCTGCCGTGGAGCCGGTACTATCGTCGATAGGAGGACCAAGCACGGGCAGCGGCATCTTGCACGCAGAAAGCAGTGCTGCGCCACAGCTCGGGGTGTCAGACCCGCCGTCGAAAATGGCCTCAAGTCAGGGCTTCGCGTCAAGCGGTGGTGTGGATACGGGTATTTATTATTTTTCGGTCATTTAGTACATTTTTTGTTTGCGACGTGCAGAAGTCGTGACGATTTTCTGAATTGATTTTTTTCGTTGGTTTCTTTTCTACGTGGTGAATTTCACACCGCTCGTACGACCTCGACCACGCGGGAGTGATTCTTTGAATTCGCATGTTTATTCAACACACGACCACTCCAGGCGGCACAACGACGCAGCTTCACTCCTCGATAGGACCAAGCGGCGTGCCATCTTCCGTTTCTTCCGTTGAGCAGCCGGCTCCGCCCGAGCCGAGCAGCTCCGGAAAACCGTTGACATGGCGACACGCGGAGGTGCAGCAGGCGCCGCGGCAGCATTCAAATACGAGCAATAGTATAATTACGTCCGCACCCTCGGCGCCGCAGAACCTGCTGGCAAACAGCTCGCCCATGCCCACACACCAATTCGGGAGCTCGCACAGCACCAGCACCACCTCGGCGGGCAACAAGGTCACGCCGATCTCTTACGCGCCGTTGAGTTCAACTTCCGGCGCGGGGTACCCGGGCAGCCATGCGGGTACGTCGGGAGTTCCGATGCACGGCAATATGCAGGAGGTGTCGCTGTCCTCCTCCAGTATGCACGCCTATGACCGGGTGAGCACCACCAGTAGCACGCGAGACGAACCCGGCTCCCCCCGGAGCATGGTGCCCAAGCACAGCAGCTCACAGTCCAACCAGCGGCACAGCTCCTCGGGCTCACAGAGCAACAGTCGGCGACCCTCGGTCTCGCTGGACAGCGACCAGGACTCCGAGCGCCGGGTAAAAAAAGACGAACAGCAAGGCGTCTGGATGAACATGGCCAGAGCTACCAGGATGGGCACTCCGCCGGAAAAGGACTACACGACGCCACAGTAATATACGAACATAGAAGTAGACGTCAACATGCTTGTTCTCATTCGCAGAGCAGACTGCTTGAAGATCATCGCGGCATGCATAATTTCTTGAACCTGCATGTTTGATTATGCGTCCGGGGTTAATAAGGATAGTAAGCAGTGCTATGAGAAGATGGACACCAACAAATTCAAACAGGTATCCGAGACGGCGGGAAGCGTCGCCCAAGGTAGAGCGGTACGATCCAATGACGAAAGCGCGCGGAGACAGTCCGCTGCGCAATCAGCGCCGCGACGGCAGCGTCGGCGGACGTAAAGAAGATATTTTTGTTTGGGATGGACAACGAGTTCCAAGATATGCAGTAGATGAAAGTTCGAATTATGCTAAAATTTCTTCCATCCTCACACAGGCTCTTCGTCCTACGATGCCCGCGTGAATGGGTCACCGCAGCGTCACGGCAACTACCATGATATGGGCCCCGCCGCGCGCACGACGACCAGTCGCGAGCTGGGCTCTTCCTCCAACCTAGGCGGGCTACTAGGCTCCTTGCGCAGCGCCGGACCGATGAAAGGTACAGATCATTTTTTGACATGGCACGCATTGTCTTGATGGAGATGTTCGAACAATACTATTTACGTTTGATGCTACTTGAAGATCTTCACGAGTTTGAGTTTCATGGAAAAGCTAAAGCACAGGAGTTGTAGTGAAGTAAAAACGAAATAAACCAGGACCATCAGTCTCTTCCTCCGCAACCAGACTGGGCATGAGCGCGTTCAGAAACGCGGGGCCGGTGAAAGCAAGCAGGGACATGTTCTTTGACTCAAGGACAAAATCAACGCGACCCGCAACCGCGCCGAGCACACGTATCTATAGATACAATTTTAAAAATTGCGTCAGAGTCAATTTTCTCCCGTGTGCCTTGAAAGAAAAACAGCATCTGCTCCTGCAGGACTTCTTGATCAAATTTTTTACCATGAATTTTGTTTTTCAGGTGTGACTCCAGGCGGGGTGTTTGCGGCTGCCACGGGGCCGCAGTACGGTTCGCGGCCAAATAGCCCCCTGCTGCGCCGACCGGGTTCGCCGGGGCGCCCTGCGTCGCCCTCGCGTAATGTGGTTACTGCGTCCAATGTACCAAATACAAAAGCGCTGGGTCTGGAAACTTGTGATGCCGAGTAGCGTATCAGGAGCAGGCCACAAGTGCTGGCTCAGCAAGACAACTTTCTGAGCTTCTAGGTGTTGCCTATTCTGCATGACAAAGTGCGTTTCTGCATGACAGAACAATTGGGCTCTTGGGTGAAGTGCATGACAGATTTAAGAGTCATCCCAGACAAGCATGACAAACATGCATTCTTCCAGACCCAGACACTTTTGCATTTGATACAATGCCATGACGTTCCGCACGACGAAGTCCCTGTCGTCTCACATGCGGCGCGCCCCCAGTCCCTATGCAAGAAAAAAACTGTGTAAGTGTAAATCTGTGATGCAGAAAATGCCAAACAGTTTGCACTTGTCATGCTCGACATGCATGATCGGCTCGCTCCTGTGTGTTTTCCCTTTCTATCTGCGCATAACAAGTTTGTCCTGTCATGGCAGACAAACTTGTGATGCTGTTTTCCCAAAAGACTTACAGTAACACAGTTTTTTTCTGGGATAGTCCCACGCCGGCCTTCAATCGGGCACCCAGTCCAAGTCGGCCGCGTTGGCGGATGTAAGTCTATATCAACTGCAAAAGTGTCTGGGTCTGGGAAGTTGCGAGATTTGTCATGCTAGTCTGGCATCACTCTGAACTCTGTGTTGCGTCACCGCAAAGAGCTCCTCTTGCCTGTCATGCAAAAACGCAGTTTCTCATGCAGAGTACGCAACTCAGAACCACGGAAAAACTTGTCATGCTTGACAGCGCATTACAGTGTGCGCACTATTCCACTCCTTGCATCACAAGTTTCGTCCAGACCCAGACATTTTTGCACTTGATAGTCTACGGACCGCTGCTCCGGGTGGATCGCGAAATAAGATCATGTTGGTAAACTAAAAGAAACATTACGCAAACAAGTAAAGAATTTAGAAATATTCATCGTTGACGCAACTGAACTCTACAGCTGCTCTAGTTTTAATACAGATTCAACAGCGAATCACTGTGATAAGGGGATTCGAGGGTCAGAAGAAAAGAATACTTATTACGCAGAGCGTTCTAGCTAAGGTTTGGAACAATACTATCAAGGTTTAGACGTACTAGAGTTGTGAGGTAAACGTAAAACGCTGCGGAGTTTGTGTGAGACGCAATCACCGCGGCACGACATCAGAAGTGGCAATGTCCACGGATGTCCGATCATCATCTTCCGAGGTCGTTTTACGGCTGGAACACCACGCAGCACTAGTTGACGGTAATAACAAAATGGACCATAAACTACCGTTCGAAGCTAGTATCGGCCTTATGGATCATCATGAAACAAAGCCATACCTATCATCGGTGTGTGATTTTCTAATGTACGTCTCTAGGACCAGTGCCGCGCAACAACTAATGCTACAGCTGTCCTCTTTCTGTACGTCGCAAGAACCTCATTTGTTTTCTCAGTAATGAATGGTCACTAACGCACTTTGTCATCAGAATACTTTCCATGCGGAGCTCCTGGCAGCACTCTATGCGGGGCATTCTACTTATGATAAATAGCTATGAAGGCTACTATATCCTGTGCAAAAGTATCGTACTCGTACTAATTGCAGATATGCATGACAAATCCAACTTTCTACCTGAAATAGCATGACAAATTGAATTTTTTTCTTGGGAAAATTTGTAATGCATTTTATACTAGTACGATACTTTTGCAATGCATATACTATGTCGTGATAATGATTTCATTTGAATTTTTCGAGTACTAGCTCCGCTGTGACCAGTAGAGTTAGAACTGTTTGGTAAAAAATCTAAACTCCTCCTAACTAAAATTTTATCATTTCGTCGTGCTACAATCCTTTCGCGCACAGCCGCGGCACTTTTACCTTACCTTGAACATGAATGATTATAGCCCCAAGTTGTAGACTGGGCAAGAAGGTACAACTTTTAGCGATATCAGTGATACTAGCATATGTACGTGTGATGTGAGCTAAAAATGATGCGATTCGTCGCCCAGGTGGTAATGAAATAACGGTGGTGGAACTATAAAACGAAGCCTTTGCAATTTTACAATTTGCGTGAAGATCTTAGTTTTCAAGTCGCAAGAATTACTAATTTAATTAATGACACTTGAACTTTTTCATCGATTTAGTGATAGACCAAGACGTAGCCGCCGCTGCGCTTGTGTCGTAGTGCTTTATCATTGAACTCTCTTTGTACTTAGAAACTTCTCATCGCGACGAGTACTCGTGGTTTCAGAACTTTAAGTAGCGTGATAGAAGGTCGTGTTTGATTTCCATCCTCCTGGTAGAACTTTCTTCAATCCAATCGTAGCCGACTTAATTTCGAGAGCGATTGATGTGATTGTCGTCCACTCAAAAATGCTGTCGACAGCAAAAAATGTGGGACCAGTACCTAAAAAATTCCCCTCGGTAGTGAGCCGACGGAACAAGAACTACAAGGATATGCTAAACGAGACGCGCGGCGCAAGAAGATGCAAATGTAATAGACAAAGAAAAGTAGAATTTGCACCAGCTCAATTCGACGACAAAGATGTGTGGAACTACGACACTGTTTCTGTTTGTTTTCGTTTGGTGTTCGAGTTCTGTTTCTTTTCTGCCTCAGATAGTGTGGTCTGCGACGGTCGAGGACACCGGCGCGTAGACTTGTGCATTCCATATGCATATAAAGAACCTTATTTCTGTGCGAGGTTCATCTTATGCACTTGCAGAGACGACGCTTGGCGCTCGCCACTAAATGCCGGCTGCACAATCTGAAAATATTAAACATTGTGTGCCGTCCTGCCGTTCTGTGCTGACAATAATTCCACGTCTTTTTTTCTTCTTTCACCCACTGGGCCAACGCGGCGAGTAGAAAATAAACAGATTTTAGATTCATCAAGTTTTTCACAAAAAAGAAAAGAGATGGGAGAGTCGCTCGGCTTCATGGCCCCCGGGCTGGTCACCGGGACCACGGTCTTTCTGATCTTGGGCATAATCGGAGCCGTTGTGTCACAATTGGTCGCACGGGAAACGCAAAACTGCACCAAATCAGAGGCAAGGATGATCGGGGGCTCGGTTGTGGTGATGTCAACCGTCTGCATGTGGATGTTGTACCAAATTATGTTATAATTTGGCGTTTTGATTTTGTGCACTCGCGGTAGCATTTAAAAACCAGAAAATGTTGCTCCTTCTATCTACGCATGTGACACCACTGTTAACTTTTGAAAATCAAAGTACAAAAAACTAAACAAATACATCAGCTGGGCCTTCACGTACATGCACCAGATGGTGCCGCTGATCTATCCCATCCACACACCACCAACCACCGGCTAGAAAAAGGGTTTATTTCGGAAACAGGTATGAATTTTTTTGGAGTGTATTTTCAAGGCTGCTTTAGGGCGGTGTTATGCATGTACACATTTGCATTTCCAACATCGAGTTGTGTGTGCGCATGCTAAGATTTAAGTTCAAAGCACTCCCGGACGACCCCTCCATTATTTTCTTGAATCATAAAAAAAAAGGTTGGAAGACGACGCGTTTTGCTTCCCGCTTTTTCGGCGTGGTCGGCGGTAACGACGAATCGGGTGTCGTGCCTCCTGTTTTGGAAACCTCTTTTTGTTGACATCAACGGTTGAATATGAATGCAAAAATGAATTTCTACGTTCTTACTTCCTACATTTTATCTGCTTTTTGAATCGCTGGCGCTGCTCGTTGCGACAGGACTTGGTACTATAGAAAGGGCAAAACCTAGTACTCTGGTACGACTTCAGAATATAAATCGTTCGACAGGACGAGTACTACCTTGTGGCCAGACCACGCGGCTCTGCATCAGAAAATCAGAAGTCCCATCGTAATTGTGCAGCGGAAGTAGAAAAAGACCATAGTTCATTTTGCGATCGGCAGTGGATCAGCTGCTGGTCGCAAGTGCGACCATACTAAACTACCTGGATGCAAGTTTATTTCGTTGTTCTCCGCCTTGGCAGTTGTAGTTGAGTCCGAGTCGTATCGATATCGAACTGCAGCTATCGTCAGTATATAGGAAGCTCGCCGCAAGATGAAAAACGTACACCAGCATCGTCCAACGGAGAGAAGAAATTTTCTTGAGCGGCCGCTTTCCAATTTAAGTACATCGTTCGTGCAGTTGATGAGAGTGCTCTTCCTAAAAGGGGGATGTACACGTTTTCGTACCGACGTACACCAGAAGTAGTGAGCGTCCGTTTGGGGAATAAAGCGTTTTTTTTCGTACTTCGGACCACGTGCTGACGAGTGTCCTCTAAGCGCTGCCGGCACGTGACGCAAGGGTCGTACTTGTAGTAAGTTCCATGGGCGTGTAGTTTCATCTTCGTAATATAGATTCGACAAAACATAAGCAGGAGAAACTGGGAACGTATCAACTTTTCAACCCAATAAATTGAATCTCTAGTTCTTTTCTTTCCTTATCGGATTTTTGGAGTTGGGGACAACTTCAGAAAAAAATGGAGTCCATCTACAACCTCGTCAAGGACGAGGTACCCAAGCCGGAGAGGGGGCCGAGGTACGTCTCCAAGTTCCCAGGAGCGCTCGCACCAACCGGCAGCACCTTCAATCTCGCACAAACATCACGACCTGGCGTCAGCAATTTAGGTATTTGAATCGTTGAAGAGGTGTTTCTGTGAAGATGCATAAAGCACTCCGTGGTTTTTCGTTGATATTATTCAGGAAAAAATGAATCTGATACAAAAACTAGAATAAAACAGCATCAAACTGCTCAATAAAAACTTTATCAGCGGGCGAGCCAGTCGCTGCAGATATGAACTACAAGTACGGAAAGCCAAAGAGCAGCTTTGGGCCAGCACCGAATGACAAGCTTCCCGACACCAAGGAATTTCTGAAGGGAAAGCAGTATGCCAAGCCGGTCGCCACTTTGCGTACTTGAAACTGATTGTTTCTGATTTTCATCTTCTTGTTGTGCTGCCTTGGTTGGTTTTAGATGCAGGAGCGAGTGTTGACCACTTTCAATCTCAAACCTGTAGTCGCTGTCAAGGCGTTCTTGTATGGAAGATCATGATCGTGAAAAAGAAAAATGAATTTGAATATCTTATCAGGCACGATAAAGAAGGAGCACCCAGAGAAGTTGAAGCCAACGACACTGAAGGAGAAGATGAAGCCAGCACTTCCAGGGAAGGAGGAGAAGCCAATTATGAACCTGGTATACTCAATTTTTTCAGAGTGATTTTTACTCATTCGCATGCGTGACATTGTGATATGTGACTTCAGTTGCTCATCTGTTCGTGCGTATGAACTGCTAGCATGACAGCGTGAAGTAGAAGATGATCTGGTTTTACTTATTCCTTGGTTCCAATAACAAAAATCAGGTAACAAGCAAGAATTTCATCGTCGCAAATGCAGTGGAGAACATCCTGATGGCACCGAAGAAGGAAAAAAACAGCGAGGAAGACTTTTTGAACAAGGACGACTACGGCAAGGTACCGGAGATTTTTTTTCGGATTTCTACTGTTGCTGAAAATTGCTTATGCTTTTACCAGGCTCTTCACTCACTGTTGCATGTTATTCATTCGCTTTTCCTCTTTCATGCCCAACCACAGTGAAAATGGATGCGCATTGTTCATCAACATCGCACTCGAAAACACGACAACCAGGTCCCGGCTTACATCGGGCAGATCAAGAAGGATATCGAGGCTGAGTACCAATACATAAGAGACCTCCAGAACGAGGAACGGGAAAAGATGGTCCAGAAGCGACCGCTTGACCCAGTGGAAAAGGAGGCGCTGATTCAGGCGCTGAAGGTGAGGACATGATTTTTTCTTATATTTTTGAGTACTGAGACTGACAACTAAAACTAATAGAGGCATGAGCATGACGATACCATGACCGATTTGAAATGCGTGACAAACGAAACGAAACAAAAAAACACAGGCCAAGTGGGAGGAAGTGAACAGTGAATACCAGCTTGGCGCGCACTTGACCAAACTCGACACCGTGGGTAAGATGCGACGGAAGGAGCAGCAAGAAAAAATGCTTACCCAGCTCGAGAAGGACATCGAGAGAATCAAGAAAGAGTACTTTGCTTTTTTGGTTATTTGTCATGCAGGAAGCGATGAAAGTGTTTTGATTTGTCATTCCCAAGTCCCTATGCAAATGGAGAAAATCAAAATATCGAACCCCCGAAATAACAACAGGAACGTCGTCGTCGATCCGTCGATGTAAAAAGTCCGGGACATCACGATAATGCCTGGAAAATGTGCGAAAAAAGCAGAACCCTTTTGTTATAATAGCAGAATCTTCAGACAAATTCAAAGTATGAGATAGTTCAACCGCTTCTCATACGACAAGGAAGCAGAAATCAGAACTTGCGGCACACGATACGAAACGTGTGTAGTGCAGTCGAATTGCAGCTATAGCAGACACCGAATTTCTAATTTTCACATACTTCACAGATTGTTCCCTATTTTAGCATGAGAAATTATCAGACGATCAGTTTTAAAGCTTATCAGACTTGATTAGAATCAGACACAACTTTGGTAGTACCTGGAGTATAGCAGAGTTTTTCGTGAACTAAAATAAAAAAGCAGAAGAAGCAGCTGCGCATCGGTTTGCGCAGAAGGATGGCGGATTCTAGAAGACTTCTTCCCGTTTAGGTGGACAACTACAATGCTACTTTTCCTGGCAGTGACGACAACAGAACGGGAAGATGTGGGAAACGGTCCTAGATGGACCATTCTCAAGCAGCTTTTTATGTGAGTATTGTTACGGTTAGCAGAAGATGAAATAGATCCAAATGTTTTGTGGTATAGTACAGCGTGAATCTTCAAATTTGTATAAATCAGTCGACAGTACTACGCAGTATCAGACGAGATCAGTTTTCCTTAGACAAATTTACCATTAAGAGCTTAGGCTCCGTGAAGCGTTTTCACGCCGTGAACTAAAGTGTTTGCTCATTACGCACAACGTTCTTTCATGTAGTGCTACCTCGTGTGGGAAAATGCACTGGAAAAGCAAAAAAATGTGGCACCCGCAAAGGGTTGCACAAGCAGCTATTTATTAGTTTACTGCGAAGGCACCTTGTTCGCGTTTTTCTTGTCTCGCAGATAAGCGTGCAGACTGCGCATTTTTTCGCGCCGCTAGCTGCATGAGAGGCATCAAGCAGTAGAGAGATGAAGTCAGATGGTATTGACGGATTGACTTGAGCGAACGCCGTAGGAAATCGAGAGCAAAATAAGCGCACAGACAGAGGACCTCAGCATCTATTTCCAAAGCTGCTTTCGCTTGTTCTACCCATCTCGATCAGAGCCAACTCTCCTAGAAAGAATGAAGTGTATTAACGACCTCGCCTTTAATATTGCGCGACCAGGTAGAGTTTGTGTTTTAAGAGTTTATTGAGGTTCATCGCGGTAAATCAGACTTCAATTTCACGCGTTAAGTAGTTCTTCCTGCTTTTCCCAAAAGTAAGACCTCAAAATGACAAAAACTCTCACTGCTCAGTCGTCAAAGGGCTCTGGTTTATCGCCCAAGGCCGTTGGTTATCCAAGAAAACTACGTTGTAGGTGTAACTTTTTTGGAGCATTGCAAATCTGTCTGGCAGGACAGCAAAAACCTGTCATGCGCAGATAGTATGTGAAAACGCCCTTTAATGCGCCCTACAATGCATGCCAAGCATGAGAGACGCAATCATCTTGTATGTTGCGCATCGCTAATTTACACTAACAATGTTTTTTTCTTGGATATTGGTGCTGACGTTCTGAAGGGTTTCAGCGTCGCGAACTTGGAACCGGCGGAGCAACCGGCCACGTTCACGATAGGGTTTCCAGGAGGATTCACTTTCACGCCATCGGGAGATGGGCCACAAAAAGGTAGTATACAAAAGATTGGTGCGCGATGTTAATAGTCTCAGCGACGAGACATAAATAATTAGTACGCTTTTCTTGTTGATTGCAGGGGGGAAATTTGGATGAAATTCCATAGCACGGTGATGGTATTCAAACATGAAAGTTGCACCATTGATTCAAATCAGCTTCCGCCAGCTCCGGTATTCCAGTACCCCCCGCGGCGCCCTACTACCCTTCTTTCAATCCCTACAGCACCGACGCCTCCGCTTTTGCGGCGGGGGGAGTAGGAGTAGGAGTAGGAGTACCTGCAGCGTACGGCTACGCCCCTCCTGCGCCCCCACACCACGCCTTCGCAAACTACTCGGTCGGAACGGGTGACTACTCAAACGCGATGCATCATGCCGGCAGCGCAGGAATACACACGCGCGACGCAATTTTAGGGAAGAAAAAGAAAACGGAAAAGAATTGCTGGTGCTGCTAGTATGTTGTAAGGGAGTAGATCCCGCGGCTTTGGTGAAGAAGAAAGGGGATACTAAATGCGTTCTGAAAGAAACGAATGAAAGACTACGATTCTGTTGAAATCAAAAATGTCAAAAGCTTAGAGATACCGTTTCCCTTTTCCATGAAAATGCTGAACAAACAAACTATAGTTTCGCGAAACTACGCAAGATGAAATAACGATCGGAACTGCTATTATCTGCAGAACCCCTTGACCGCGACACGTTTGCGAAAATCGTCGCCATCTATGACCCGCTGTGTTCTTCGCCACGGTAGAAGCATGAAAAAAATCGGTCATCGTCACCAATAGAGATCTGGATAAAGTATCCTTGCTGCTGCCAAGCAAATATCTATGTAAAAATCACACTCTGTGGATCTTTCGAAAAAGCATAGACACGGCAGATCGTTCGCGCCAACGTCTGCCGAAAGGAACCAGAAAAGATGAGTTCGCGGCTTCGTAAAAGTAGGTGACGCGACGCACCGCCAGCGAAAATGGCCGCTGTGCTGGGTGGGGAGGAGGCGGTATTGCAAGGAAAAATCCCCCCTCCCCATATTGGAAATGTATCTTCTGAAAATTTGTGATGCAGATTTGTGACCCCAAATCCTGTCTGTCTTGCGAGAAGGCAAATCCAGGCTCTCTGCCACACTACGCAGGCGATTTGTAATGCTGTAAGGACTACAGGGCAGCCGTCTACCATACTAGGCGCCTACACCAAAAGGCGCCTATCTAGGCTGGCGATCTGCTTGTAGTCCTCTATTGCAACACAAATCTGATTTGTATACGCAAATCCAGCATCACAGATTTCCTTTTCGATATGGGGAGGGGGGACTTTTCCTCTTGATAGGCGGTGGAGATTGAATTCAACATCGAGCCCGGCGACGGCCGAACACCGCAGGAGGTCTTCGCGACTTTGCAGCAGCAGTTAGCGGACCCTTGTATATCATCGATCTTGATACGATGGACCCTTTTTCATGATCATGGTGCAACAAGAACCTGTAGTCAGCGTGTTTGAAAAGAACAGTAGCAACGACGGGACGAGTGCTGGGTCTTTCCGTCTTGAATCAATGAAAATTTCACTCCATAAACACAGTCTCAACCCTCCGCCGCAGCGAATTTGGGCAGTACTGCACGCAGGCCGTGCTTTACTCCGAAGATGCGGCGCAGGAATTATCCCAACCCTCAAAAATCCCGATTGCCGCACCAAAGCCCGCGTTGCCCCAGAGCGATGTACCCGCAAAGGAAATCCTCGAACTGCAGGAGAAGCACAGGCAAGAGGTACTTGTTAGGTATAATTTTGATAAGACTTTTTTTTTGGACTCGGTTTTTTTTCAGACTCGTCCGGCTCGTTTTAACACATGAAAGCGCCAGACCGCCGCGGTTCGGGTCCGCTTTCGTTCTCGTTTGTGGTTTCGTCTTGTATTCGTCCTATCTCTTTTGTTTATATCTATACAAGGAAATAACTTACTTAGGTTGTTTGGTTTCTTTTCTTTTTCTCCTTTCTCATTCTCTCTACTAGGGGTACGAAAGTTGCGGCTTTTCAGCTTCAGAGCTCACAGCCTTCGCCCCGTCCAAAATGCCGCTGCAGTTCTCTTGCGCCGCGCGTCGCAACAGTGCCGCGGCCCCCTGATAGACTTGATAGCCGAAATTCTTTTCCGAAGGCTTTCGAGGGATGGGGCGCGAGAATGAACTCGCCCGCAAGCAGTGGTGGGGGGGCGCGCGGGTCAATACGTGCCCGCCTTAAGGTAGCAGGCAAAGTGGAAAGTTAGCGACGTTCCGCACTCCTTCGGGAAAAGTGAAAAGCCCCGCCGACCGTTTGGGCTCCCGAAGAAGGTGCTTGGGAAAGGTGTGTGGGAGCCCGAAGGGCTTGAAGAGCCGCAGGATCTGGTCACCGGCTGTCATATCTTTGGGAAGGCGGAAAGTCGTTGACTTGCACTTCAGGCCTTCGAAGGTCTTCGGGAGCTTGAAGCTCTTCGAGAAACGGAGGGAAGGCTCGCGGAGTTTTGGCCCGAAGTGAAAAGTCAGCGAGCTTCCATGTTATTCTCGCGATTTTTCGGAAAAAGGGGTGAAAGAAAACCCGCTGAGTTTTCCCTCCATGTCTCGAAGCGCTTCGAGAAACGGAATGACAGCGCCATGACTTTTCACTCCGTTTCCCAAGCATGCAGCTTCCTTCGAGGGAGAGAGTGAGAGGTCGGTTAGTTTTCACTTCTCGCACCTCTTCGGGAAACGGAGAGAGGAAATCCTCGAACTGCAGGAGAAGCACAGGCAAGAGGTACTTGTTAGGTATAATTTTGATTTTTATTTCTAATTTCATTTTATTCGTTTTGTTAGGAATGCGTCCACATCAGACGCTATTCCTGCCTTGCTCGTGCGCATACGTACGTAGATCTCTTGACTTCAGTCTTGAGGTTTAGGGTCGGAGTACTCTCAGCACTGCTGAAGCTTTAGAACCAGACGGGAGTGCACGCCCTGAAGGATCAGAGCAATGGCTTTTTGATAGCGCTTTTTTACAAACGGCTTCATAGTTCGCTTTCTCTGTTGCGCCTTCCTTTTTCCTCGGGCCCTACTGGCACCAAGCAGTTTTTTCTTTCGGGGATCGGGTTTTTGGTTTAGAATTAGGCAGGTGGTAAACCACCCCAATTTAGGACCATCACATGTTACGCGCACCCGGATTCTCCACCAGCATGCCGTCGTGACTGCTTCCCTCCGTCGACCCAGCCGCCGCAGAGGGTTCCAGGGTTTAAAAGGGTTTAGTTTAGGGTTCTTATTTTGATTTTATTCGTTTTGTAATCCACAAAGCGCTTGCGCTTTGCGCTTTGTGGTCAGGCTTCGGTTGCGGCGTCCTGACCACAAAGCGCTTGCGCTTTGTGGTCAGGCTTCGGCCAGTTGTTTTGTAATCCAGTTCGACACCTGGTAGCCACCGGAGGCGAAGGGGCTGCTGGGTGGTTGGGTCGGGGGTTAGGACTAGTGCCATGGATGAGGAGGTAGTGGCGCTTGTCCTTGAATGCCAGCGGCAAGAGGCGACGCCAACGGCAAACTCCCCCCTGGTGGCCGGGCACTGCTAAAGCGGGCGGTGAAACGTCACTGGGGGTGTAGGAGTGGTTTTTCCACTACTGCAGAAACATTTACCTTCTGGACTTACATTCCAGTATGTGGGAGGCTTTTACCGCTCACCTTGAGAAGCGCACACGTCATTCATTTTATTCGTTTCGTCGTCACTTGTTTTTATCTCGATCTTTCTATCATGCTCTGCCCTCTGGTCGAGGAAATCCTCGAACTGCAGGAGAAGCACAGGCAAGAGGTACTTGTTAGGTATAATTTGGGTGTCTTTTTTTTGGATCTTGTCCAACAAAAGTCGGAGCATTACTCAGGTAATGGGGGGGAGGGGGGGGATGCATCCATGCTTTTTGGGCATTACTCAAACCGGCAACAACTTGCGCCGAGCCGTCCTATCGCCGTCGCTCTCCTCCATCACCGGTCGCCGATCCGCCACCCCGTCTCCGCGTCCCTCCATCAATCGCCGATCGCCTCCGCGACCACGCGCGGCCGCGGGCCCGCCCGCCAGCGAGCGCAGGCCTGCGGTCATGTGGCCGGGGGGCAGCCATGATTGGCAATGTGTAATGCCAATGCAGAAACCAACGAAGGACAAACTGTTGACGTGGCTCTTTCAACTTTCCTCCATCGGAGGAACGTTGAGACGGCCGCCACTTCAACTACTTTGACTCTCTGTTGTCCTAGTGGTCCTTGTCCTTCACTTCTGCGTTACAATTTTCCAAAGTTGGAAACTTGTGGTGCAGAAATGAGGGACAAAAGAAGCACGAAGGAAGCCGTTGCAGTGGCCATTTCAACTGTCTCTCATCTAAAGAAAGTTGACGTGGCCCCTGTTATGTTTCCTCCTCCTGCATTCCTGCGTTACAAATGCAGAAACGAAGGAAAAACCTTTGTCCTTCGTTTCTGCGTGCAAAAATTGCCACCATGGTTGGCAATTTGCAACGCAGAAATGAGCGGCAAACTGTTGACGATGAAGCGGCCAACTCAACTTTCCTAACTCCGATGGGGGAAAAGTCGAAGTGGCCAACTCAACAGCTTTGGCCTCCTGTGCCCTTCATTTCTGCTTGGCAAGTTTCCAAATTTGGAAATCATTTCTGCATGACAAGTTTTCAAATCTGGAAATTTATCATGCAGAAATATAGGACGAAAGAGGTGCGAAGGTTGCTGAAGTGGCTCCTCGAACTGCAGGAGAAGCACAGACAATAGGTATAATTTTGATAAGACTTTTTTTTTGATTTTATTTCATTTCGAGAGCAGTTCCTGGCTCACCTTGGTAGCTCTTACAGTTGTACCGAAGAAGCTTGCGCCATGTTGAACTTTATCTCTCACACTATCATGCTGCGCCCTGTGGTAATTGCAGGAAAAAAAATCCAATATATATAAAGCACTAGCTGTTATCCGTGTGACCGCAGTATTTGTACACGATCGCAGCCGTGCCGCTTGCTGTAGCAAGGGCCACAGACTCTAGAGCAGGGGAAGGAGGGGAGTGGGAAAGGAGGGAAAGGGGAAGGGAGCGAGCGGGGGAGGGGGGACGCAGAAAAGAGGGTGGGAGCCGGAAAGAGGGGGGGGGAAGGGCAGCAAGGTCGAAGGAGGGGGGGAGCCGGGAAGGCGGTGCCAAAGCGAAGGAGAGACAGCAGCAAAGGGCGAAAAGGAAAGGGAGAAGAGGGGCAAAGAGGTGGAAACAGGGGAAAACGCTTTAAAGAGGGGTGAGCAGCAGGGGGGAAACGGGGGGAAATGCGAAAAAAGACGGGCATGCCAGGGCAGGGAGGTAGAGAGAAAAGCGGAAGCAGAAACATTGAGG